TGATTAGTGATTCTTATTTCGTCTGTCAATCCACGAGAAATATTTGGCATTGAATTGTCAAAAGTACTGGCCCAACTGCTAACACTTCCACGAGTGATTCTTGGGTCGAGCGTTAGGAGTGGACGCACACTGTTTTCCCCTCTATTTCCCATGTGCGAGTTGTAAATACATGAGAGAATATGCGGACTTGTAGGGAGTCACCTCAATTCGTTCACAAGACTAAAAAGAATTATCAGGAAAATTTATTTAATGGCAAATATGGGATGGCAGTGAGTGGTCCCCTGGTATTTTACGGTGGAGCTGTTAGTGCCACTGTAGTTTCTGTCACTTATCTAACCGCTTCCCTGTGGAGGTTCTTTCTGTAACTCAACTCCCCAATGAATGAACGTACATCCCCTGGTGTGGAAAAGATTCCTCACTATTCTGCTCGATAAACCTCAACTTCTCCTATGATTTTTTAAAAGAATTTTCTACACCACGAATATTTGACCTGTCAAATTCGATTCGTAAACTGGCATAAACTGGGTCCAAATGGGGTGGCAGAAACTGCGCGAGATGTTTTTGAGGATGGCAGGAACTCAGTCATCGGACCGTTATTTTTATAACTTCAATGTCAATTGTTTTTTGCGGATTTAAAAAAAGAGCATTGGGACGATGGAGGCATTATTAAACTGCACATTTTCCTCGTTAAATGTGGACGTCCACATGAAAAGGGACCACTTTGTCGATATGGAGTTATGTATACTCTGATAATATTTATAACATTCCGCACATTTTGAGCCCAAAATGATCCTCATAGGGTGAAAAATGAGGTCGCCGGAGCAGATGAAAAAAACACTTTAACATAAGTGTAAATGGGAGTTGCTGAGACAAAAACGTGAATATCTCGGAAACTAGAATCGACAAAGTGGTCCCTTTTCATGCGGACATTCACAAATGATGAATTTGAAATGAGGACATAAATCAAGCTATTCTAATAACAGTATTGGCATCTAATTACCAATTAAACCTCCCCCCACCCACGTCCCAAAAATTCTACACCAACAAAATCATTAAAAACTCTAATGCTACTCACAAAGAACAAAATTTTATTCTTGCAAACCAGCACCCCAGCCATTCCCGTAGGAACGATGGCAGTAGCAGAAGGTGGCACCTTGAGACACCACTGAATCGACCACTTGAGCTGTTGCTGCTGCACGAGCCCCGGCACGAGCTCCAACTTCATAATCTGTATGAAATCCTTGAGTACATTAAAAGGAACATTGAGCATCCTGCCAAATCCACAGAGCGTATTAGGTTTGTAAGGAGGAGCAGCTGCCCTCGTATCAAAGAACTTCTCGATGATCTGGAGCTCCTCGAGTGTCCACTTGTCCTGGTGTTCGGGGAGTGGCTGAACCTTGATATGCAACGACTGGAGATGCTGAGGATTCAGGACAACCCTGCACTGGAGTGTCTCCACCTTGAAGTGAACGACCCCAGGTTCAGTGCTGTTGATGCTCGTGAGGCAGTCGTCGGTCTGTATGAACCTCTGGAGCTGTCTCCTCATGTAGACGCAGCCGAGGAACCTCTCGAGGGGCGACAAATCGGGACCTGGAAGCCCGGAGGGATGAGCTGATGGTGAACACAGAATGTCCAAGGCCTCGTACGTCAGCAGCGTCGGCACAGCCCCGGCCCACGACCTCTGAGGCAGAACCCTGGAGATGTGGCACCCGATTTTGTGATCAGAGGGCTGGGGGCTGTGCAGAGCAGCGTGTGCCGGATTCTGCCCTGGCCTCGCTGGCGAGGGCCTGGGAACACTGGGCGATCCCGGCCAGTTCGACGCAGCTGGTGACGCCATACTCTGAGAGGAGGGGAAGGGACTGCCGTCAATGTGGCCCTGCATGAAGGAACTGGCTGGGGAATGCCCGACCTGGACATTGCTGCAGGGCCCTGGTGACGACGTTGGCATGAGCCCTGCTGGACTGGGTACGTGCATCTGGTTGAGGGGACTGTTTGCTACCAGCCCAGACCCTGGTGAGGGATGTGGCAGCATGTTGGGAGTGTTTGGAGGCAGGGACGGAGGGGAGGCCAGGTTGAAGGATGTGGCCGGACTGCTCCCGAAACTCTGGTGCTGACTTGCCTGCGAAATGTTCGCAGTGTGGGGGCTTGCTGGGGTGTGCGGATTTGACCCTGAAGGGGGGGTCAAGGGCGGGTGGAACCTCAAGCCGTCCCGCTGCTGCGCCGGGGACTGCGGACCCCCTCGGTGATGACTCATGAAGCCCACACCACCTGGACCCTCGGAGTCCATTGTCACTGGTGAGGGGGGATTGTCGTCCTCTGATTGAGAACGCCTTCGGAAGACTGCACTCTCGTCGACGTACTTCGAGAGGAAGGTCTTCAGACCCTGGGTGGGGGTGAAATCGTCCACCACGTTGCTTCGGTCGAACCTGCAGACGTGATTTCGGAGAGATTGTTAATCATGTGTTGTGTTGTTTTTTAGGTTTAAGGGGAAACGGAATCCCTGTGTCCATGGGAACTTTTAGAATTGGGTTTTATAATGCCATTATTTTTTATTCATTGAAATACTGCATTTACTCGACAATGCGATAATCGAGTCGAGAAAGTGGTTGAGTAGATGGCAATTAATCATTCAGTCTATTAAGTCTATTTTGACTGTTGCCCAGTTTTCAATGAATATCTCAAAATGTAAGGGAAATAGCAAAATTTTTGTCATAACATTTTTTATAGAGCAAGTTGAGAGCTACAGAAAAGGAAATCACAGCAATTTCGGTTTTTCCCTTAGATTCCGAGATATTTATTGAAAACTGGCCAATAGTCAAAATCGACTTGTACCGGTTTAACAGTTCGCTACTGAATTGTAGGAGAAAACAATTCTATGATTTGATATAGACGAAGGGGTTCCGTCTCCCCTTAGGAGAGTTTGTTTCGGGTTATTTAATCGTTGCTGATTGTAATTGTTATTCATTGTGATGGATCATTGTGAGAGATAATTTGCATCAACTCTGTAGCTCATGACTTGCACTGTCTGCTCTCATATTGTGAGTACCAAGTACCACAAATATTTGATGGGAAATGTTGGCATTAAAAAAAAATTTCTTTATATACAAAAAGTGTAGGCATGAAACGTCCTGAAATTTACATCTTTCAATAACATCAATTTTTTATTTAACAGAAGATATTCCTCGAATCTTGGCTGAGAGCCAAGTCGACTTAAATCGTTTTACCGCTCCTCTACTAAATCGTGCAACTCCAAATTCCATACGATTGATTTTGGGAAAGGACGTATTGAATACCTAAAAAAATTGGTTGAAAAATATTGAAAAAAGAATTTTGTTCAAAAATATCGAAAAGTTTTTACGAGTCGAAAAAATGGAAAAATGCCAATTTACCTTTGCCCACAAGCTACACAATTTTAAACTATCTGTGAGACCTCAAAATCTCTACAGAAAATCTTTGGCACTTGCCTGGAGTAGGCGCCATCCCGCAGGCTGACGAGGCCGCCACCTCTGACCCTCAGCTCGAGACAGTACATCGCCTGATATGCAAGTCGAACTGACGTCACCGACTGTGGCATTATCGTGAATGTCTGCACTGGGACCTGAGGCCGCGAGTTGAGGACCCCCAGTTGCGGGATTATAGGGAGTTTGCTTATGGAGATCAAGGGCTGGAGTGTCTCATTCAGGTAAAAAATAATCTGGGCGAGATTCCTGTGGCGATTGAGGTGGGCCTCCAACTGCTCTTTCATGAGGGAGTGGGCGTTGCTGGTCGTGTTCGTCGGGCTCTTCCCGAAGATGAGTTTGAAGGCTTTATCCTTCGTGCTCCAGTGAACGGTGACGATGGCACCCCTGTTCGGGCCATAAGCCAGGATGAGCTTGCTGTAGCTGAAGGACTTTATGCTGACCATATTCCTCAGATTGTACTTCTCCATCTTGAAGTACTCCGCGAGGTCTTGCACGATGGAGTAGAGGTGAACTATCTGCGCCCAATTGTTGAGGAGGGCGTCCACTGTTCGTGAGACTGTCTCGGCGGTCCCCATCTCGTACTGGAAGTACACGGGACGACGGAGACCTTGCTCCTTTGGGTGACTGCTGGTCAGGGGGGACGAGTAGAATACGAACTCTGCCATCCAGGTCTTCGCCATGCCTTTGCCCTGGACTCGGATCGACACGCTCAACAGGCGTTTCAGGAGGGCCTGCCAGCCTGGACTTGCGTTTATCGTGGGCGAGGGGGCTGGCAGGAGGACCGGCTTCAGGACCAGGGCGGTAGCGTTCGCTTCTACCTGGAGACCCTGGTGGGCGATGTCTCGTTTTGTCAGCTGAAAGGTTCAGGGGGATTATTGGATTTTATGGAGGGCTTTTCTTTTGCTTCTTTAAACGAATTTTTATTTATTAGAATTAGATCTGTAGTGAATTGGTAAACTAGGATAAGTGCATTTCAACTGAGGACAATTATCAAGCGATATCTCGTAAATAAAAACAGATATCGAAATTTTTGTCAAAAACTTTTTTGTAGCCCACATCTCCCTCTACAAAAAAGGTTCTAATAAAAATTTCGATATCTGTTTTTATTTACGAGATATCGCTTGATAACTGTCCTCAGTTGAAATGCACTTATCCTAGTTTACCAATTCACTACAGAGATGGCTTGCTCAGGAGATGTTTTGAATTCAATTGAAATCGAATCATTTAACACGTTTTATACGCCAGTTCAATTATTTTAGATTCAGAAAAGAGCTCTATTGGATATTTACTTACGTAAAGCCATGAATAAATGAATAAATAAATAAATAGAATTTTTGATCTGGAAATATTGACGATTTAATTAACATCTGTTGGAAATTTTCCAATTTCAGTTTTTTGAATTTACTATTTTGCGAAATGCTTTTAAATTTCAATAACTTGAAATTTTCTTCGACATGAAAAGATGTGGGTGAGAGTAGGTTCTTATTATTTTTTAAAATTTTACCTCTAGAGCTAGAGTGATAAATGGAATTCTTTCGTCACACAGTGCAACGACGTGAGCCAACTCGGGTATGAAATACGCTGGATGCTTGGGTCGTCTGCTCTGGGGGGTTCCTGAGGCATCCTGGCGTCCACTGGGCCCAGTGCTACGGCGCTTATTCCCCTTGTCGGTAACGTCTGTAATGCACCCCCCATCTTGTTCATTAATTCCTAAAAAATGGATCTGTTAATGCCCCTTTGGAATATTACTAAGACCGTTCCAACAAAATCGATGGAAATTAGCCAGATGTTAGAAGTTGTGTTAAATTTGTTGAAGTATTGAAATACTGGGTGATATATTAATGTCATTAGCAGTTTGGAGAGAATACCGAAGCCGTAAAACGTAATAAATCAAAATTAATTTCTTGTTCATCTAGGAAAGTAACTCTTTAAAAAAAATGTCAAGATCATGAATATTTCTTTACATTTTCTCCTAGAATGATTCAATATTGACAAAACGTGATATTCAATCGCATGAAAAATTGAATTTTTACGTTTTACTCCTTGACTATTCACTTGAATGTTTTTTTAGAGGAGAAAGGATAAATAGTTGTAGAGTTTTGGAACTTTTCTCAGGGCTAATTGCGTGGAAACTCTCGGCAATGACTCACCACTGTCAACACTTGTGAATGGTCCATGCGTGATCACGAACGTGTCAAATTCAATCAAGCTCTGAAGCTTGAGATACATCTTGGGAATTTCCGACTCTATATTCTCATCCTGTGAATTGTTCTCGGCTGAGCTTGGCTTCACACTTGCCATGTAGAAAGAACACTCTATTTCACAGGGCGATGACTCTTTCTCTTTAAATGCAACGATCTAAAAACAAAAAATGCATGAGATTCCTGATGTTTTAAAATCTTGAGATATCAACATTTTTCTCAATGCATTTTTTAGTAGATCTGTAGGAAATACTGTTCGAAATATTTATAAATAATTGATATTTCAAAATAATTAAACATTACGAATAAAATTTTTGCCAGAAAAATTCTATTCGTAATAATTCTCATTTAAATATTATATATTTACTTTATGTCAATTTCACAAATGTGAGTGAAAAAACAAATTGTGTTTAATCAGCAAAAATAATCAATTTGAAATAAATATTTCAAATAGCATTTCATCATGGGAAAATCCCAGTATTAATCTGAAGGTTGTGAGTTCAAATCCCCCTGTGGGCACTTTAATTTCATTATTTTTTCGTAAATCTAGGTGAAATACTATTTGAAATATTTATAACTAACCGATATCTCAGAGCCATTGAACCTGGCAACTAAAATGGTATTAAAAAATTTTGAATACAAAAATTTATTTCTTCGAATGAATAAATAGTATTCAAATAGCAAGAATAATCAATTTGAAATAAATATTTCAAATAGCATTTCATTATGGGAAAATCCCAGTATTAATCTGAAGGTTGTGAGTTAAAATCCCCCTGTGGGCATTTTAATTTCATTATTTTTTCGTAAATCTAGGTGAAATACTATTTGAAATATTGATAACTAACTGATATCTCAGAGCCATTGATCCTGGCAACTAAAATGGTATTAAAAAATTTTGAATACAAAAATTTATTTCTTCGAATGAATAAATAGTATTCAAATAGCAAAAATAATCAATTTGAAATAAATATTTCAAATAGCATTTCATTATGGGAAAATCCCAGTATTAATCTGAAGGTTGTGAGTTCAAATCCCCCTGTGGGCACTTCAATTCCATCATGTCCTCACCAAAACAACATTCGGATGTCTGTGCAGTCTCACAAACATCCTATGCCTGCTAATATTGCTCATAGTAAACTCCGGATTATGTAAAATCGGTAGTTTCTCATGAGGTGTGGCAGGCAGATGCTGCAGAGTCTTCTCGCACCTCCTCTGCGTAATCCAAAACCTCAACTCTGAAATCAGCCCAGGCAACCTCGAGTGGTCATTGTTGAGAGCCGCCGTCAGCTCCGGCACGAGAGGTGCCTCATACTGGGGCACATGGCACTGGAGCATTCCAGTGTGAGTGTCCACTGTAACCAGGAGTAACTCGGCCCTGAGGCAGGGCTGGAGTATGGGCACAGCGAGAATGGCAGGGGATCCGTTCAACGTGCACTCCACATCCTTCAGCATCCCCTGGATCTCCTGCTTGAGCTCATTGAGCCTGTTCCTCGTTCTGATGTAGATGGTGTGCACCAGGAGGCACTCCATGGAGAGCTGCTCCGACCTGATCGCCCTCTCGGCGATCTCCTCCTCCTTGGAACCCAGGGAGGGGACGTGAACCACGGCCAGTGGCCTGGCAGGATCACTCTGGTCCACCTGGTGATAATTATAATTTGTGAATTTGACCAGAGCCATCTCGACATTTCAGCAACAAAACGGTAAAAAAATTTAATTGGCCAAATTTTTTGTAATGACTAATAGCCGAACAATTCTCTGAAGACTGTATTTTCAATTTCATAAGAATTGATTAGAAACTCCACATAACGTTGCAAATAATTCCCAAGTCAATTCAGAAATGGAAGTTCTCTCTTCCTTTTCTCGATAATTTGAATAAATGGCTGAGCATTGGGGTTTTTTTCTTTAATTACGAACGATTGATAAATTCATGTAATCAAAAAGACACTCTCCCAAGGGTCAAACGGGAATTAGCAAATTAACAAATTGTTCCCTGATTTGATTCCATTTCCCTGAAATGGAATTGAAGTCAAATAAAAAAAAATAGTTGAAAGAACTTCCACTTCAGAATTCCCTTGGCAATAATTTCCAACGTGGCACGGAGTTTCTGATGAATGTATCTGCAAGCGTTCCCTGCACTACCTGCACCGAGAGCTTGTACCCCAGCTCGGACCTGGGGTCCTTGGTGGTCAGTTCCCTCCAGTAGGATATGGCGAGCCCCTTCCCAGGGACGTACTCATCCACATGGATGTGATCGTCCAACCGATCCCTGATGAGCCTCAGTGTCTGGGAGTAGAGCACCTCCAGCTGGAGGGACTGGCAGAAGTAATGAAGAATGTAGTAAACTTCTGACAACGAGTTTGAGCTCTCGGCGAGTCTGGCCTGGACGACCTGGTGAACGTATCTCGTCTGGAGGGGGTGCACCAGGGCCTTTCCGTCGCCGGTCTCTCGGTCCGACACCAGGATCTCCAGGTCCAGGAGCCTCCAGGGGACGTTGGGGCCGTCCCCCATGACCGTCAGCGACACCGAGAACTCCTGCTCCACCAGGAAGGTCACCCTGCCAGCCTCGATCTTCAGGTTTCTCATCTGGGGGAGGAGATTTCCAGTCACCAGTCGATGCTGGATGACTTGGTTGAGCCTCTGGAGGGTCGTTCGCTTCTCCACCGGGGTGATGGGGTCCGGCGGGACGATCCTCTCGCGGATGCATGCCGGGAGGCGGCCGTAGGTGCCGGTCGTCAGCACCTCGACAGCCGCTGGGATGTGGAAGTTCGGGAGGCGGGCGTGCACCAGGGTCTCCCTGGCCATTCGTGCCAGCATGTCAGCTGTGTCCACGAAGAGCAGTGACTGCTTGTCCAGGAAGTTCATTATGTGCGCGGATTTGTCGACCTTGGAGGCACTGTTTGCCCATTTTACGAGGGCCAGCAGACGCACGAAGAGCTGACGGGTGCGGGCCGAGTAGTTCCAGATCTCGATTTTACGCTCCATGTCCGTTTTTCGGGGGAGCAACTCGGCGAGGACCGTCAGCTCGTGGTAGGTGCGCTGGATTATGAAGTCGATGAGCATCCCCAGGGAGATGGAACCCCCCCGGTTGCCTTCCTGGGGGATGTTGTTGGATACGGGGGTCTGGTGACCCTCCAGGGGGACTGGCGCCATGGCTGATGGTGTTGACACTCGTGGAGGTTAGGGGCTTCGATTTTAGGGGGCACCTTCACGTTTGGGGGAGTTCTTTCGGCATTTTGGGGGCGAGAGGGGCTGCTGGGGGGTTAGGAGGGATTCGCAGGGTTTTTTTTGACGTAATTCACTGTTTTCAGGGAGTTTTAGAGAAGATTCATCGCGGGGTCACGTAAACGGGGCGACTGGCGGCCATTACTGATTTAGGAACGACTACGTGAGTCGGGAGGGTCGTGGGGTCAAAATAGAGTCTGAATTGACAGGCGGAAGTGGAAGGATAAATGAACTTCCGGGTGTTTGAAAGGGGATTTTTGGGGGTCATGAAGAAATTTATGAGAATTGTATCAAGGTATTATAAAGATAATTCTTGAGGATAGTGACAATTTCTGGGGTTCGCAGGGTTTTTTTGACGTAATTCACTGTTTTCCGGGAGTTTTAGAGAAGATTTATCGCGGGGTCACGTAAACGGGGCGAGTGACGGCCATTACTGATTTAGGAACGACTACGTGAGTCGGGAGGGTCGTGGGGTCAAAATAGAGTCTGAATTGACAGGCGGAAGTGGAAGGATAAATGAACTTCCGGGTATTTGAAAGGGGATTTTTGGGGGTCATGAAGAAATTTATGAGAATTGTATCAAGGTATTATAAAGATAATTCTTGAGGATAGTGACAATTTCTGGGGTTCGCAGGGTTTTTTTGACGTAATTCACTGTTTTCCGGGAGTTTTAGAGAAGATTTATCGCGGGGTCACGTAAACGGGGCGAGTGACGGCCATTACTGATTTAGGAACGACTACGTGAGTCGGGAGGGTCGTGGGGTCAAAATAGAGTCTGAATTGACAGGCGGAAGTGGAAGGATAAATGAACTTCCGGGTATTTGAAAGGGGATTTTTGGGGGTCACGAAGAAATTTATGAGAATTTTATCAAGGTCTTATGAAGATAATTCTTGAGGATAGTGACAATTTCTGGGGTTCACAGGTTTTTTTTGACGTAATTCACTGTTTTCAGGGAGTTTTAGAGAAGATTCATCGCGGGGTCACGTAAACTGGGGCGACTGACGGCCATTACTGATTTAGGAACGACTACGTGAGTCGGGAGGGTCGTGGGGTCAAAATAGAGTCTGAATTGACAGGCGGAAGTGGAAGGATAAATGAACTTCCGGGTGTTTGAAAGGGGATTTTTGGGGGTCATGAAGAAATTTATGAGAATTGTATCAAGGTATTATAAAGATAATTCTTGAGGATAGTGAAAATTTCTGGGGTTCACAGGTTTTTTTGACGTGAATTCACTGTTTTGAGGGAGATTTTTTTAGAGAAGATTTATGGGGAGGTCACACGTAAACTGGGGCGACTGGCGGCCATTACTGATTTAGGAACGACTACGTGAGTCGGGAGGGTCGTGGGGTCAAAATAGAGTCTGAATTGACAGGCGGAAGTGGAAGGATAAATGAACTTCCGGGTATTTGAAAGGGGATTTTTGGGGGTCACGAAGAAATTTATGAGAATTGTATCAAGGTATTATAAAGATAATTCTTGAGGATAGTGACAATTTCTGGGATTCGCAGGGTTTTTTTGACGTAATTCACTGTTTTCCGGGAGTTTTAGAGAAGATTTATCGCGGGGTCACGTAAACGGGGCGACTGGCGGCCATTACTGATTTAGGAACGACTGTGTGAGTCGGGAGGGTCGTGGGGTCAAAATAGAGTCTGAATTGACAGGCGGAAGTGGAAGGATTAATGAACTTCCGGGTATTTGAAAGGGGATTTTTGGGGGTCACGAAGAAATTTATGAGAATTGTATCAAGGTCTTATGAAGATAATTCTTGAGGATAGTGAAAATTTCTAGAGGTTGAGAGGGGCTGCAGGGGGGTTCACAGGTTTTTTTAACGTGAATTCACTGTTTTGAGGGAGATTTTTTTAGAGAAGATTTATAGGGAGGTCACGTAAACTGAGGCGACTGGCGGCCATTACTGATTTAGGAACGACTACGTGAGTCGGGAGTGTCGATAGGGTCAAAATAGAGTTTAAATTGACAGGCGGAAGTGGAAGGATAAATGAACTTCCGGGTATTTGAAATGGGATTTTTGGGGGTCACGAAGAAATTTATGGAAATTGTATGAAGGTCGTGTGAAAGTGATGCACAATGAGAATTAAATGAAGAATTAAACTCAATTGAAATAAAAAAATATGGAAAATTCCATTAAGGAAGTGTGCGGCAAAATGGACACTATTTTTTTAAGTTCATAAATAAGAAATAAATTGTTGATAGATTAAGAAGACGAATTGTACTTCAGATGGAAAAATTACACAATTCCGTCGAAACTTTAATGGCTCATTGACCCTAAAAAAATGAGCGTAATTTTTTAAATTGTGTCTGGTCAGGGATTAAGTGATAACAGATGTCCCATCGATCTTTGATCCCCGTGAACTTCGAGACGAGGTACTCGAAATGATTCATTATGATTCAAGGTGAGTAAAAACTGTAAATACTCGAACCCCTCATGCAAATTAGTACTTTCTAAAGAGCCTGGTGAGACCCGGTGGTCTCATCTCTTCAGTTTTCCGAGTGACTTCAGCTGGAGTCAACCGAACCGGTTCACCATGATTCTGGGATTATTTCTACTCTCGATGGTTGTGAGTTTGCTGGCTCAAGACATTGTTTTCCCGGGGGCCGAAATTGGAGAATTGAAAAATCGAAATGTGAGTGGGAAATACTCATTTCGCTTGCAAATATTTACAACTGTTAGTTTTATCTTGACAAGTTTCATCTTTTGCCAGAACAGTTGACCCAGACCAGCTGTAAATTTTTCTCATTTCCTGAATTGTTCGAGTCACATAATTTTTATAGCGAATTTTGGTGAAAACAGAGGCATCTATAAATTCATTCTAAGCCGTCAAAATTAAAGTTTTACTCAAATTAAATAATTCGATAAGTTATACGACTAAATATCCTATCTATATAACTTACATAACTTTTTTTTTTTTTTTTTAATTTTTCAAAATTTTCTTTACTCTTTTTTTGCCATTTGTTTATCAATATATTCATCACTCAAGTAATTTCTGGTATTATAGTCATTTTATTCATTCATTCATCATATTTTTATGGCTATTTGGTCAGCTTCATGTCTCGTGTTGAATTTGATGGACAGTAATTGATCTAAGCGGTCGTCAGCACTTCGAGGATGATTAAATAATTAAAAAGAGAAGAAGAATTCTTGTCGATGACGCATGTTGTGGTGTTCAAAATAAACTCCCACTCCCATCCGAAAGAAAATATTCCTATTCCAATTTTTTTGATCAATTTTTAATATTTTTAATACCATCAATTATAATTCATATCAATTTTCATGAATTTTTAATATATCTCAATAAAAATTGAGACACGGACGTCCATCGACCGAGCATTATCGAGGAATATTTTTCTACCACTTCTCCGATGATTCTCGTTGTCTAGACTACTATTCGCCGGTTTCCGAAGGATTAAAAAATCCCTGCCCTACTGAATTATTTTTCATTTTTTTTTAATTTTAGCACGAAACTTTAGAAGTTTATACAGCTTATCAATATAGGATAGATAAAGAAAAAAAATAGAAAAGAAGATTTTAGTAGTGAAAACCGGTAAACCGGTTTATGTCGATTTTGACTTTTGATCAGTTTTTGATGAATATCTCAGAACCTAAGAGAGATAGCAAAATTTTTCTCATGACCTTTTTTGTAGAACCAATTAAGGGCTATACAAAGGTCATGACAAAAAATTTTCGATCTCTTTTAGATTCCGAGACATTCGTCAAAAACTGGCCACTAGTCAAAATCGACTTAACCCGGTTTACCGCTTCGCTACTAAATTATAATAACAAAAAAGAATACTGAATTATTTGAATAATTAATTCCATCAGGCATCAAAAACTCGGCATTGTCCCCCGAACATGATGTACGTCCCCGAGGAAGACGCCTGCGAATGCGAGACAGGATTCCTGTACTACGGTCCGACCGACGGCTGCTACGCGCCGTACCAGAGGGGCCCATGTCCCCCCGGCGAGCACCTGGTTCTCCCCAGGGGCTCGGAAATCGCCAAGTGCCTGGCGAACCCCTGCGGCAACAACGGCACCGTCCCCTTCGAGAACACCTGCATCCACCTCCTGACCCCCGGCCCCCCGTGCACCGGAGGACAAGCGGCGGTCGTCGACGAAGCCACTTACGAATTATCCTGTCGGAGTGTCGGGGCCATTCTCTACCAGATCATCACCGCGCCCGTCCGAGGATGCAGGCGCGGGTCGAGGAGAATAGCCAGTGGAAAGTGCCGAGCGATTCTTTAATTGACAACTAGTGTGATTGGTTCACCAGCGGTGAAGACTCATCGACCGAATTAGTCGTTTCACTTCAGGAAAATTACGGACTTCAGAAATCGGCTGAATCATTTTTTCAATATTTTTTTATCCCTCGGAATTTTGAAAAATAAAAATCTTGCAGAGGATTGTCAAGAACGAGTTTGCACGAAAATTAAATGATACGAGATAGTGATGTCTTTTTATTTATACTGGCCAGATTGCATGAAATCGATATATATCGTCGCATTAAAATCAAAGGGGCGTAAGTGCCAAAAAACCCATTTTAAAAGTGAAAGGGGCGTATGTTCCGAATTCCTGTTTTTTCCGTTTTTCATGGAATTTCTGACCGAAAATCGGAAAAAAAAATCTAGGAAAAAGGCGTAATTGCTATATTTCAACGGGAAAGGAGCGTATCTCCACACTTACGCCTGTTTCATTTCATTCAAAAAATGACACTTACGCCCTTTTTATCATTATGTGTTGTGCACTTCGGATGACACATTTCATGTTGAAATAAAACGAAAAGGGCGTAAGTCCCACATACGCCTCTCTCTCATTATATCTTAGGTCTACTCGCGATAATGAGTTTTATATTGTTATATCAACATAAAACGCTTTAACTATTTTCTTCTTCCTTTATGGTCTCATTTTCTTCCGAAGTGTTCAAAGCAGTCACGACTCGAAATTTCTACAGATAATTTCCTGAAATTCGCAGTCATAATTAAAAAAATGAAATAAATTAATGAATGAAATCGAATAAATTTAGAAGAAAATTTTAGAAAATTTTAGTTTAGTTACTGATATTTCTCATGAAATTGTTTCATTCAAGCAAAAAATCAAAGGGAAATAATTTGAACATTCATGATGAGAGGGAGGGAGGGGAGGTTAATGTAGAATCAAATATTATTTATTATTAGGGCTGTAGTGCATGTGATTCCGTTTATACTTGATGAATCAATAGGAACGAACAGTAACAAATGAAGGGACATATATATTGGAGTTACGCCCCTCTGTGATTATTGTTTCAAAAACAAAGGGACGTATGTGCCTGAGTTACGCCCCTTTGGAATTATTCATTCTCAATATGAGCTAGAAAAGAAACAAAAAGTATAAAAAGAAAGAGGCGTATGTGCTGGAGATACGCCCCTTCAGTACTTGCTAGTCGGACTTACGTCCATTTGCCACTTCAGAAATTTGTCCACAAAAAACCTTTCATAAGTTGAGAAAACTCCATTTCGAAGGAAAAAAAAACATACGCCCCTTTGGTATTAAGAAAAAAAATTTTCAGAGAAATGGCACTTACGCCCCTTTGATTTTAATGCGACGATATCATTTTTAAAATTCCAATTCCCCGAGTTATGAATACAAACATGTTACATGATAGAGAGAAAATGCATATACATTTTTAGTCTCAGGTCCGGTAGCACGAGCCCCGGGTAACGAAACCGTCAGATAAGGAAAAAAGTGAATTTGGATGGTCGATGGATTAGTCTACCCGGGAGAGCATCTCAAATTGATCCCAGGAACAAAAAATAAAATTTAATCCCAAGGTTAAATCAGTGTTAATTCAGATGGGGCTAATTGTCCCCAATTTACAATTGAGAGATTTCTTCACGTCATTAATTTATATTAAAATTGCTGAGGACCGCTGAGGCCATAAATTACATAAAAAAATCATGAAATACATGAACGTTCAAAAAAATCTTGCTGAACTATAATTTTTGAGGTGTGACATAACGTAAAAAATGGAAACTCTTCAATAACTCAGACAGAAATGAAGAATAGGGAGATCAGGGGTCGAGGCTGTGGGTCGCGTTGTTTATTTGAACGAGATAAATAGATTTTAATTCTCGTTTCGTGAATGTGGTAATGTTGCTTGCATTCTGGTTAATGGACTCCACGATCACGTGGTGCTGGAGTTTTTCTCTCGAGACAGTGGTTGACCTTGGAAGCCTGAGAGTTCTTCGCGTCAGTGCAGTGGCGTCCCGAGCGTGCGTCGGACTTTCAGAGATACAGCTCCCGAATTGGGTGATATTTACGGGTTTCGGCAGCATGGGGGTCTCGATTATGTTGATGGGGATTTTTTATTTTGTGGCGGTCTGCACGATGGGCAGTGGCCAGCATGTGGTGTTCTCGTTTAGAGGGAGTTCTGGCAATTCCAGTGGGAGGAAATTAAATGTAAGTGGTATTTCGGCGGCTTTTGATGTAAAGGGTAAAGTGGTGTCTTAAAATTTTTATGTGATGAATTTTAACTGAAGTAATTTCTGTTTTTAGATAATGAAATTAAATACAAATGAATAAATTCTATTTAATAATGCAAAATAATCAACTTGGAATTACTCTTGCAAATGGTACTTGACCATGAACAACTATTTGAAATCCAATTTCATTTAATCCACGCTAAGTGCTGGTAGGGCTTTTGATACTCATGCCTTACCATGCACTCTTGAATTTATTTTTAATACCTTGATAAATTTAATATTTGAATTAACATGCCTTTAGAAGGAAAGGTGCCGTTTGGGGACCCCTGTAGATCTATGTAAGCATTCAACATATAATATGAGATGTCTCAAAGAGGTTTAAATTCATTAATAGCAGCCCAGGAAAAAAAGAAAAACCGTTGAATTAAATTAAAAGCCAACAACAAATACGGGAATTAAATAACCAATGATAACAAATCAACGATGGAAAATTAACGAAAACAAAATTATAATAATGAAAATAATTCACAAGATTCATTCACAATAATTATATTACATTGAAGTGCACGTGGGTAAATAATAAAAAGGATTTATTAAAATAAATGGGACGATATAAAATAGACATGTTAAAGTGTCAAAATAAGAGGAAAGAATGAATAATAATAGAAGAGAGACGCTAACTTCAGAGGAGAGGTTTGGAGGAAAGAAAAGAATGCAGACACGATGGAATGCATTCTGAGAGGAAATTAGATAAACATAACAATATATTGTTTTTCCCTTAGGGAATGTTTGTATCTCCGAGAAATAATAAATCGCTTGTGACCTAACCATTTCAGCTGACCGCAGGAATTCCCATCCGCATCCCGGGTGAATGCCCCCCTCACATGGACCGCTACCCCGACCCCTCCAACAAGACCTCGTGGATCTGCGACTGCGTACGAGGATACCTCTACTTCCCCCTCAAGGAGTCCTGCTACCAGCCCTACAGGAGGGGCCCCTGCAAGCCCTCGGAGTACCTCACCCTCCCCAAGGGCCAAATTCTGTCAAAGTGCGAGGGCAATCCCTGCAAAGAAGACGGTCTCGTGCCATTCAGAAATGGCTGTCACCCCCTGCTTGTGAAAGAGGGTCCCTGCGAGGACGACGACATTCTCGGGGTCAATGAGACTACTTTTCACCTCGAGTGCATGCCGGTGGATCTCTCCCCCTTCCACGTCATTGACCCTGGTGAGGGCGACGGCTGCCCTGCGGGGAGTCGAAGGACCGCTCAAGGAATCTGCCGAGTTCCTCTCTAAATCTCCTCTCCTATTTCTGCATTTATCTCGTAAACCACTGATTTTAGGAGGTAATGTTCCAGGACCTTTTTTGTAGAGAATTAAATTTCCAGCAAAAAATGTTCTATGACATTTTCTCCTAGGATCAACCCCTTTCAAGATAATTCGATATGCACAAAGATGGAAACATCGCCTCGTTATTCTCAACTTCATATTTATTGTTAGAGATAAGAATGACTTATTCAAGTACTGAGAGAGTAATTAGTATTAAATTATGTAATAATCCTGAAAGACCAACAAAGAAATAAAAATCATTGCGTGATATTCGTAAACCTCTCCTTACAATTTATTTAATCGTATTATATCAGTTCATTTCGTCGTTAAATAGGAGATTTAAAAATTGTATTATAAACTATTAATGAACGATGTCAATTGATCTCAGCTGAGGCAATCGAGCTGGTAGGTATCGTGATTAACCCTGATGACTCCGGAGGGACAGGGGCCTCGAGTATTCAAGGGGTGGCAGCCCCCCCTAAACGACACTGAGCCATCCTCCCCGCAAGGGTTCACCTCACATTTTGGGACGACTTCCCTCTGGGCGAGGGTCACGTATTCCCCCTGTTTGCAAGGGCCTCTCCTGTAAGCCGCGTGGCAAGTGTTGTTCAGGGGGAAGAATAGGTACCCGGGCTTGCAGTCACAGATCCACGTGCTCTTGCTGCCAGAGCCCGGGTACAAGTACATGTTCTCGGGACACCGACCTGGGATGTGCACAGGGATTCTCTCGTTCAACTGGAATATTGTATTCAGGAGACTATTTTTTTTTCTGTTTTAGGTGAGGGTCAAATGGGTTCGTGCAGAGGTATGAGAAAGGGTCATTTGACCCTTAACTCCAAACTCCTTAAGGGACGACCCTTTGACCCACGACCCTGAACCTTATTAAGGGTCGTTTGACCCTCAATTGAAAACAATGAAAAATTCCGCAATTGCGCGGTATTTCATTTTGCCGTTTTGTTTGAGGGTCAAATGGTGTTGAGGGAGAAAGGGTTGGAGCAAAGCGATCGGAAAGAGTCATTGACCCTTACACGTCTTCAAGGGTCGTCCCCAATATGATAATTTGACCCTCAATTCCAAACTTCGTTAAGGGTCGTTTGACCCTTACAATCACTTGACCCACAATCCCGAATATTATTAAGGGTCATTTGACCCTTACGACCATTTGACCCACAAACCCGAATATTATTAAGGGTCGTTTGACCCTTACGACCATTTGACCCACAACCCCGCCCATCATTAAGAGTCGTTTGACCCTCGAGACTTTTAATTTTTAATTTCAAATTCTTTTGAGGGTCAAAAGACCCTTAAGCACGTTCGGAGCTGAGGGTCAGAAAGGGTCATTTGACCCACAACCCCGCCCATCATTAAGAGTCGCTTGACCCTCAAGACTTTTAATTTTTAATGTCAAATTCTTTTGAGGGTCAAAAGACCCTTAAGCACGTTCGGAGCTGAGGGTCAGAAAGGGTCATTTGACCCACAACCCCGCCCATCATTAAGAGTCGCTTGACCCTCAAGACTTTTAATTTTTAATGTCAAATTCTTTTGAGGGTCAAAAGACCCTTAAGCACGTTCGGAGCTGAGGGTCAGAAAGGGTCATTTGACCCACAACCCCGCCCATCATTAAGAGTCGCTTGACCCTCAAGACTTTTAATTTTTAATGTCAAATTCTTTTGAGGGTCAAAAGACCCTTAAGCACGTTCGGAGCTGGGGGTCAAGAGGGTCAGAAAGGGTCATTTGACCCTCAACTAAACAAAAAAAATGTTATTTTATCAATAAATCCAGCAGTGGAGAAAAAAAATTCCGACCCTTTCTCTCACCAAAAAAATATCAACTCACCTGCGCTTTGTTTCCTCCCAGGTGATCATGCTCCTCGTCAGCAGGAAAAACGATATCCTGACAATTAACAATCGACTGCACAACGAAAATCCAGGAGACCAGGAACAATTTCCCAGAGATTATCATTGTTATTAATTTATTAATTGCCAATTGTATATCAACAATAAATCAACTCGACGGTTCACACGATTCAAGATAGCAGCCCGATGTTGGCACGAAAGTGGGCGAGTAGTAATTGAAGCCCGAAATCTAGGCTCACATTCTTTGGGATTCCCCCACAGCAGAAGGAAGGGATTCGCCAGTAGAAATAATCATTATTCCGTGTAACGGTTTATGTCGGGTTTTTTTCATCTAATCCGGAAAAAGACGATTTAATGGCTCGACGATAAATCATGTATACAATTTAGACAACATTCTTAGAGTCGATTACTTATAATTGACTCAGAGGTGAAGGAATAAAACGTAAAAATCGAATTCAAACGATTTTTTAAAATAAATTCCCTTGATCTATTACGTTTGACTACTCCACAACTGTAGAAATCTCTAAAATATCATAAGTTCTATAAATATCTTGGTTCTTCCTCCACATACACGATTATTTACAAGGACAAATGAAGCAATCACATTTTCCACGTGACAAAAATTGTGAAACGAGACTAGCGAGATTCACCCCAAGTTCAGTTTTTGGTGAATATCTCGGAATCTAATGGAGATGGCGAAATTTTCTTCTCCACATTTTTTTTGCGTGTTTTTTCCCTCTAGAAAAAAGTTCTTAACACAAATTCCGCTATCTCTGTTAGATTCAGAGGTATTCAGGGAAAACTGGTGTTGAAATTGAATTGCTGCATCTCGCTCCGGAAATAATTCATTATTGAATGATTTGTAATTGATTAATTAATTAAAAAAATAGAAATATGTTTTTAGATATGTATGTACACGAATCGAATAGAGAAACTGTTAATACTGCCTACTTGCTCGATAGATGATTAGAATAAATTTTCAGCGATTTTTACTGGGATATTATTGCGCAATCACTGGTGACCGTGATCCTGATAAACTCTTCAAATTTTTTTCGGTTTCGTTCAAACGAGAAGTTTCGTAATGTTGATCGTCGAACTTGAAGAATTTCAACGCAAGAAGTACGAAAAAAATAATGGTGGAGGGGTTCAGTGGGGGAATATGAGAGAACAAGTCGATTTTCATAATTTCTTACACGAAATACGTTGAATTGTAGTCAAAGATGCCTCTTAGGGATATTTTTGTTTTTTTTTTAATTTTCTTTTGTTTTTGGTTGAAGGTCAAAGTCTTGAGGGTCAAACGACCCTTGAAGACGTGTGCAGTTAAGGATCAAATGACCCTTTCTAATCACTCTGCTCTAACCCGTACGGCCCTTGAAACTATTTGACCCTTAACTCTAAACGCTTTGAAAGGTGATTGACCCTCAAGACCATTTGACCTTCAATTTCAAACGTCTTCAAGGGTCGTTTGACCCTCACCTTCAAACGTCGTTAATATCAAATATAAAAAAGGTCTAATTCTAGTCAAATATTTCTCTTGATATATTTTTTTAAATTTTTGGATGAGGGTCAAATGGTCTTGCGGGTCAAACGACCCTTGCAGACGTTTCGAATTGAGGGTCAAATTATCTCAATGGGCAAGCGGCCCTTGAAGACATTTGGAATTAAGAGTCAAATTATCTTACGTCTAATTTTCGTCGAATATCCCTCTCGGGGACATTTTTATTATTTTTTCAATTTTTGGTTGAGGGTCAAATGGTCTTGTGGGTCAACCGACCCTTGAGGACGTTCTAAAATGAGAGTCAAATTTTGTAAATGGGGAAACGACTCTTGAAGACGTTTCGAAATGAGGGTCAAAGTGCCTCAATGGGCGAACGACCTTGAGGATGAGTAAGGTCAAGGGTCAAATGACCCTTTCTGTCCTCAAGGTTCACTTGACCCTTCCAATACCCTCGAAATGAGGGTCAAATTACCGCAATGGGCAAACGACCCTTGAAGACGTTTCGAGGTCAAGGCTCAAATGGCCCTTTCTGTCCTCAAGGTTCACTTGACCCTTCCAATACCCTCGAAATGAGGGTCAAAGTACCTGAATGGGCAAACGACCCTTGAAGACGTTTCGAAATGAGGGTCAAACTACTTCAATGGGCAAACGATCCTCGAAGACGTGTGGATAAGGGTCAAATTACTTCAATGGACAAACGACCCTTGAAGACGGGAGGTCAAGGGTCAAATGGCCCTTTCTGTCCTCAAGGTTCACTTGACCCCTCCAATGACCCTTCAAACCTCCTTCATCCCCAAAAATTCGACTTGTTCTCCCCCTTCCCCACCGAACCCACCCTAAAACTTCTCTCAACTCCTCTAGCCGATCTCCTGAGTCGAGTAATTTCCAGCAGCCTCGATGAGCCTCTGTCTCTCCCTGTACATGGAGACCTTCATGTTCTCCAGCTGGTGGTACCGCAGGAGTTTGAGGACAGCGAAGACGCAGAGGCCAACCCAAATCGAGAGACTGCTCCACGCCCCGAACTGCGCCACCCCCAGCTCGATGTGGAAGCCAGACGTGTTAATGCCATCGGCTTTATCAATGTCATTTCCAGCAGCTTGCTCGCACGAGGGGAAGCGCTTCGTCATGCAGCCGCACCACGTCATGAAGCCCAGGGTGATGATGATGGCAGCGATCAGGGTTATCATCGTCAGGTTTATCGAGACCACGACGTCGATGAAGGCGGACAGGAAGGAGCTGTCCTCACCCTTGTACATCAGCATCGAGAGTCTGTATATCTGGATTACTGATGTCACGGACAGCACCAGCCCCACGAATATCGTGTAGTTGCAGTAGGCTTGGGACGCCCATTGCACTGCGAACTGTCCGTCAGTCTCTCGCCAGATGCCGGTGGAGAACAGGAGACAATGGCCACTGGAAATCCATTTGAAATGACATTTTTCAGCGAGAGCATCAACTAGCCAATTTAGTGAAGCAAATGTGACTCTCTTTCATCCTCGATATCGCCGGACCCCACGATGGCATTTCAAAAAATCAAGTCTCATTTTAAAGCTTGAAAAAATATCTTCAAAATGAAAAAAGAATTGTGGAATTTTACTCTGCCAATCGCGAGTTATTTTGATAATTGTAAAAGGAAAAGTTTTTTCAGTCAATTTCAGCGCAATTTTTTCGTTTGCCGATATCTCGAGATCCGCTGAGTGAAATCGACGACTTTTTTTTCATTTTGAAGGTCTTTTCTCAAACTTTAAAATGAGATTTGATTTTTTGAAATCGCATCGAGGGGTCGGGAGATATTGGGGATTGAAGAGGCTGCTTTTTGTTTTTTTCGGTTATTACGTTCTGCTGATTGGAATTCTGTCATGGAATTTGATTAATTAGTGGTTAATTACTTGAATTCGTCCTGATGGAGACTCATCGGCACGATGATGCAGAGGGACAGGATGAGGGCGCCCACGTACCCTGCTACCTGGCTTATCAACAAGACATTCGTCAGTGCCATGATCTTGATATGAATTGCTGAAGTGCGAAAATAGTCGAGACGAGCTAGGTTATTGTTCCTGATGTCTTCTGAGGGCCTTCACCCACTCACACCTCAGTATTCAATCATCCACGGGAGTGATTTACTGCACTAGATCAAATTCACTGAATCACACGGAATGCTTTGGGGTGTTCCTGGTTTTTGTCTCCTCTTTGACGTTTCTTTTTTGTGATGAATTCACGAGATTGCATGACGTAGTGTTCAAAACAAGGGATTTACCTACGCCCCCTTCTGGAGCTTTCGTGAAGTGGGAAATCTAACCTCCAAGGGGATGTTACACACGTGTTGGAGCTGTTAGTCATCAGTTGTTGTTCATTGAACAGTTCATAAATAAATAAAAACCATGGGGAGGAGGAAAAAGGTAAGAATGAGGTGATCGACGTGGTGAATCCAGAGGAGAAATTTTTTAATTATTTTTCAATTAATTTTCCCTGGACGAAACAGTTTAGGGAATGACCTTTTGTTTTTTGAGGGGAAGGGGAGGATGGGGTAAAATGGACACTGGACTTTTTTAACATCACTCATAACTCGGAAACAAATTTATCAATTGAGCTCAGTTTAGACTCATTACAAAGGGAAAGAAATGTTCTTTGCATTGAAAAAGAAAATTATTGAGTTTCATCAACATTTCGAGCTGTCATTAACATTTAAAAAAAAGTCAAGTGTCCATTTTACCCCAACCTCCCCTATTTTGGAATCTACGGGGGATGAGGAATTATCGTGACATTTTTTCGTAGAGATAGGGGAGATCTACAGAAATGTTCCTATGAAATTTTTGATGTCTCAATTAGATTCTGAGATATTGATCGCAAATTGATGATCCACAATTAATTGTCATCTTTTATTGAGGATGTCTTTTAATAAAATTACAATTGGAAGAGGTCTGCTCTCTCAAACATTTGAGTCGAACAAGCTTTACAATTTTTCGAATGGAGCTTTAATCGTTCCACATGAAATTCATTCCACTCTCATTCAGATCCGATCAATTAGCCCCTCATGTATAGATATTCCAAATTTTTATTTTTTTCCTCATTGAAGTAGTTTTGAAGAAAATTGCGAGCTAATAAAAAATATTTGCTAGTTAGTACTTTTTTAAAAATAAATATTTGAAAAATCACCTCTGAAAAAAAAGGCGTTATCCCCTCTATTTCATTATTTCCAAAAAAATTTTATCACCAATCGATAGCAAATTGTTTGAAGATTTTTGCGAGTTAAGAAAAAATCGTCAATGGAATCCTATTATTGTGTAAATTAACAATTCTAATTTCAACTGAAAACCAGAGTTGATGACCAGAGTTTGTAACAGAGATGTCAGTCAAGATATGAATGTTTTTTGGGAAAAAAGTTTCCCATTAACATGGGAAAAAAGTGTCCGCAAATCTAGTGACTCTCAGAATGAAAAGGTCTATTGAAAAAAACAAAGCCCAATCCTCAAATTTCTATGAATTCCCCAGGGGAGATGCGTCAAAAAGAACAAGCAGCTCTCAGCCCCCGAGCCCGACTCGCTCGTCCACGCGCCCCACTCCTTCGTGATCCACCGGGGTCTCCCTGGCGATCACATAGTGGAGCTCACAAAGGACTTCCGCAAGATAATGGAGCCCTTCACAGCCTCCGCCCTGAAGGAGCGCAAGAACAACTCGATAAAGGACTTCGCCTCGGTGGCAGGTCTCCTGCACGTCAGCCACCTGTGCATCTTCAGCCGAACCGAGATAGGGATGTACCTGAAGATGTGCCGATTCCCCCGAGGTCCAACCCTCCACTTCAAAGTCCTGGAGTTCTCCCTCGCCAGAGACATAATATCCTCGACCAAGAAGCAGATGGTCTTCGACGAGATATTCAAGCACTCGCCCCTGATCGTCCTCAACAATTTCAGTGGCGAGGGCCTGCAGATGAAGCTGATGGCGTCGATGTTCCAGAACATGTTCCCCACCATAAACCTGAGGACAGTCAATCTCAACACAATCAGAAGATGCGTCTGCCTGAATTACAATCCAGAGTCGAAGATGATTGATCTCCGGCATTATGCGATTAGAGTTGTGCCCCTGGGGCTGTCGAAGGGTGTCAAGAAGCTGGTGCAGGCTAAAATCCCCAACCTAGGGGGCTGTCAGAATTACGCAGACTTCCTGACGAAGACAGCTGTCTCTGAGAGCGAGGGGGAGGACGAGCCCTCGAGCTCGGTGATCCTGCCCCAGAAATTATCGTCTCGAGGGAATCTCCAGAACAGCAACAGCGCCATCAAGCTGTACGAGCTCGGGCCCAGGCTGTCCCTCCAACTGATGAAGATCGAGGACGGCCTGCTTGATGGGGGTGTCCTGTTCCACGAGGTGGTGCACAAGACTGAGGAGGAGAAACTGAGGATTGAGAGGATTCGGGAGAAGAAGAAGAAGTTGAAGGAGGCCAGGAAGAAACTCCAGAGGGAGAACAAACAGGCCAAGGAGAAGGCCAGGGAGGAGCTGAAGTCCAAGTCCAGGGAGGGGATGAAGAGGAAGAGGGAGGTGGAGGAGAAGAGGGTGGACTTTGAGGAGGAGAGGCAAATGGAGGCTGAGGACGATGCTCAGTATTACAGGGACGAGGTGGGGGAGGAGCCTGACAAGGACCTGTTCCAGAATAAATCGGTCAAGAGGAGGAAGAATACTGGAGCTTGTGTTAAATACAAGTCTAAGAAGTTTAAGACGAAATGATCTTAGGGTTAGTGATTATTGTAATGCTGGAGGAATAATAAAAATTTCTGCCTCGTCGTCGACGTTTTAATTGAAATGTTGAAATCGTTATTGTTGGTTATTTCCATGTTTAGTTCAATTATTTCAGGTACATTTTTTCATTGTTGTGCAGTGATCGGCATCAATCATTATTCCGGAAATAGTAAGGATGTTCGACACCCTTTTAGCCAAAATTGACGTTGTTTTCATTTTTCTGGCAAATTATCGATGGGAGTGACGTGAAAAAATATAACGATTTTGTGGTTTGTCATTCTTTAATGGCTCACGAAGTTGCGCAGTGGTGCGATAATTTTCATGCGTTTTTTCTACAGTTTTGTGATTCTTCTTAAAAGTTTAGAGAAAACGCAGGAAAATGTTCGCACCACCTTAAAATTTCGTCAGTCATTAAATAATGACAAAACGCAAAAACGTTATATTTCTTCACGTCAATTCCATCATAATTTTGGCAGAAAGGGTGTAGAACATCCTTAAGTGAATTTTTTTCCCAAAATAACCGAATTCATTCGTTTATGATTGGAACTTAGAAAATAATAAATAATTGAGGATTCAAATTTTTTCAAATAACTATTAGGTAGATAATTGCAAATTGTCTAAAAAAATATTAAAGATTATCAAATAATCGTCATTCTTCCGAATTCGATTATTGATTGGTAAAGTCATTTGGAATTTAAATATTTAATTGTTGATTAATTTAATAATTGAAAATTGCTCTATTCTAAGTTCTATTACTTGATTGAGTATTTATGAAATTAATGGTAATGATAATTTATGATTATGCGTATCTATGTTGTTGTGTTATGGCTGTAGAACTCGACATGATCAATCTTATTAGATTGTACAGGGTCTATATGATATAACTCATCGTCAAGGGTCTGAGGAAGCTTAAATAATGAGCCAAACGTTGCTCATTGACTATTCATTAGTATGGTGTACTCATTTTCCAATTTCCCATTATCTGATATAATTAAAATCGTCAAGGAGGGTCAGGTGATATTGGAGAAATAATTACAACGTTGATCAAATTATCGTAAGTGCGATGGCTCGCTAATTATTTTGGTCCCATGTGAATTCATCCCACAATGGACGAGAAATTACGGCATTCGCCATAAATGACTCCAAGTTCTATGCCGAGAGTCATATGTTTATGGTAGGAAAGTTTTGAGGATTAGGTTTTAATTTTCTGTGCGAGAGAGGTGCAATGAAATTGCACTATTTCGGTCTTGTAAATGTTCAAATGCATTTTGACATCCGATAATTCTGCGGAAACTGTATTTCGCCAAATGACGTGATTACGATTCCTGTGGCGTCACGATTTGACGTCGGTTTCCTGCACCATTTTCCTGAGGGCAAAAAAAAACGAAAAAATTCCACCTCCAGTATTTTCTGCAATTATCGGTCCCTGAAATGATAAACAAAGTTATACGATGACACACCCTAAAGTGCGAAAATATGAGAAATAATCTAAAAATATCATCTCGAGAGACAAAATCAACAAAATTCCGAACTTGCGCAAATTCGAACGGCCTGAAGTTGTCCCCAGACCCCATCCCCCGCAGCTTTCAGACGACTAGTCCTCAGCTGAGTTGAACCACGCACTTGAACTCATACAAATCTCAATAATTTTCCATGATTCATCAGTGAGGAAAAAAACTCTCACTTATGTCTGACCGTCGTCACTCGTCATCGACCAAGGACACGGACAACTCGCCTATAATAAATTCTCTCATACCAATTACATGTCGTACGACACGTGTGGAAGTAAGTGAATCGTCGAGGAACCCAATAACACCCAGTAATTAGGTAGAATTATTGAATTTCAAGTTCATCAGCTGCAAATCTTCACATTTTAATCTCGTAATTAATTCGATTCGGTGAAGCTTAACAGGTGGACTGCTAGCTATTCGTCGTTTGGAGATTGAACCCCCGATGGCATTGTATCGCGATAAGAACGACAGAAGCGCCTCGATCACGACGATTTTCTTCGACCTGGATAATACCCTCATTGAGACAAGAAAGGGTGATAGTTTAGCCTGCAAAAAGGTATAAAAAGTTTCATTCAATCATTAAAATCCACTAATAAACTAGTAGAATAAATGTACTTCTGTAATTGTCTGTCAGAATATTCAGTGATTCGATAGCCATCTGAAAAGATTATGTTGAAGATCGTGGGAAATTGGAGAAATGAACAAAATTCTTTGAAAGACGTCGGCAATTCGATGAGATTCTGTTGGATTTCTATTCAATTCTATTGGGAAAATCCAAAAGTTGTGGGCGGGTTTTCTCACAATGGAAATATTCAGTAGAAAATATTCTATAGTGAGACAGGATGATAGTTTAGTATGCAAAAAGGTATAAAATTAATTAAATTTCAGAGTAAATTTAAAGGTTATTGAAGTTATTTAATTTCCTCGAAAAGTCAGGGGACTAAATTCTACTTTCGTTACATCGTTTAATCATTTGTGTCTTTATTTATTTATTATTATGGGTCTTTATTATCATTTATTTATAGGAAAAAATATTTCATTGCAAAGACATTATTAAAATTTGCCTAGAAATCAGGTTTTTCTTACGCTCGTCCATATTTTTCATAGATAATGTTTATAATATTCCCCAGCTATTTAATAAATAATGTTATGGGTTCCCCCAATTCGATTTTTCAATGTTATGAGAAAACGGTTCTTACGATGTTCTAAAAAAACGAATTCTTGGGAGATTGGTAAATTCCGAATATGGTGAATTTTTTGTAAAATTTTATAACATAGTTTTTGCGATATTCAACTCTAAAGAATGGAAATTTCGTGAAATTCTTTATTATTTCATTCTAACAGTTATTTAATCAGTTGTTTCACATGAGCATAGAAGAACTCAATATTTCATGAGAATACAATAAATTAAGCCATTTACAATTTTTTGGGTGATATTGGGATATCCAAGTTTCTTTTACAGTTCGATACAGACCGCACTATTACATAGACTCAACCATTTTCAATCATCAAATTTGTCAATTTAACTTGCAATTTAAATTGCGTGAGAAAAATTGAAAAGAAAATCATGAATATTCAGCGCCATTCAAATACCATTTTGTTCAAAATAATTTTTTTAAACATTCCTTGTTTACAAATAAACTCTAAAAAACGAACATTTCGTGAAATCATTTCTCATTTGATTCAACCTTCATCAACAACATATGAGGATAGAAAAGCTCAATAACTTATGAGAGTACAGTAAATTAAGTTAATTAAGTAATTAAATTATGTCATTTACTTGACTAATTAATTAAGTAAATCAAATAATTGAATTGATTACTCAAGTAAAGTAATAATTAATCAAGTAAATGAAGTTACTTTTGGTGGTATCGTCTCGCGATCCCCCTCAAGCCCTAAAAAACCACATCACCCAGAATCCTCACCTCCACCCTCCCATCATCTTCAACATAATCGAATATTCCCCAGCACCTCCCGACTGTCCCCAACCGAGAAAACCCCACTCAACCCCTGTGCATAACGTCTGATAAAAATAGCTGCGTTTGTAATCCGAGCCGCATCTTAAAATAACCACCACCTCGCACACGCCGCAGAGCCAACTCCGCTCTAACGGAGAGATAATCCCGAGGCAACAGCAGTCTCATTCCGTTCCACCTCTGTCACAAAGAATTCGCCCGCACCCGTCCACCGCCTCGACCCCCTAAAAAACCCCGAAACCCCCAAAACCATCACAAAAATCAGTCGTCATTTGGATATCCTGGGTGAATTTCAGGTGGCCTCCCCCAGACTTAATTTACCCCGCGTGTGAGCGAGAGTCCAAAGAGAGAATTGACAAAATAATTCATTCCCCCTCCCCCGAAAGTGTCGAGTGGTCAAAGGGCAAGGCTAGAAGCATCGGCGAGAGGCAGCCGGGAGTGGTGCCAGTAACACCTCGACTCTCGTGCATCAATCTAACCGCTAGCCCCTCACGAAAATGAGTATCCCAGAGGGTGTGACGAAATGTGCGTCAATACTGAAAACTGTGACCAGCGATTCCGAAAAATTCGCTGCCCTCTTCATGGTAACAAAGTTAGTGGACAAAAATTGTAGTGTCGAGGCTAAAAAGCTCCTGTTCGAGGCGATCGGTTCGAAATTCCTGAAGAAGCTTCTGCTGAGTAACGAGGTCCCAGTGGACTGTCCCCCCCAGGTCTGCAAGTCAGTGGCGCTGTCGATCCTCTCGGCCTTCTGCGTGGAGCCGGAGCTGGCCTCCCACCAGGAGATGATAGTCCAGGTGCCGGGGCTGCTGGAGATAGTCTCGCAGTCGGAGGACGACGCATCGGACGACAGCCTTCTAGCCGTTAGCGAGGCCTACACAGTCCTCCAGGCGATCGCGCAGCACTCGCCGGGGCAGAAGGCCCTCCTGGAGGAGAAGGCGATCCCGAAGATGTGCGAGATCTACTCGGAGAAGAGCTTCCAGACGGACGAGGCGCTGAACATCCTGGTGACACTGGTCTCGAGGCTGGGAGCAGAGGCCTGGGACGCGAGGGACCCAGGCCCCTTCCACGGTATCCTGAACAAAATAGCCCTGGACTTCGAGACGGATCACTCAGAGCGCAAGTTCGAGCTCTGCCCGATCCTCCAGGCGCTGATATCCTCCTCCCGGAAGGAGGCGGTTGCGGACTCCTGCAAGGAGGAGTCCTGGCCGCAGAGCCTGCACAAGGGCCTCTCCGACATCCTCTGCTCGAAGATCGGCAAGAGCCAGAGGGACCCGGCGCTGAAGCTGGCGGCAGCCATTCTGGAGCTCCTCGGCGCCGAGTGGACGCTGATGGACGAGGAGAAGCCCAAGGTCCTCTTCCTCATGCTGATACAGCTGGCCTCCATCGAGGTGAGGATGCAGCTGGAGGGCAAGCAGCTGAAGACTGTCGTCCAGAACGGGGAGTTGATAACAGCCTGCTTCGTCATCCTGGAGATTTGCCTGTCGTACATAACGACTGATCAGCTCGACCTCGAGCAGAAGGAGAAGCAGTCCCTGTACACGGCGTTGAAGGGGGCCTTCTCGGCGGTGATTGGACTCCTCGGGGCAGTATCCAAGATGAAGGAGTTGACGGACATCGGGGAACGCGTCTTCGTCTGCGCGATGGTGAGGGTTTTGGCCGCCTGGCTCGCCCAGGAGACGTCGGCCATGCGGCCACAGGTGTACGCAGTCCTGCCGTTCATGATGTCGGTGGCCAACGACACCTTCTACGCCAACAGAAATCGGAAGATGACGGAGAAGGCCAGGGCCGCTGCCAGGGCTGAGGAGGGCGCCTCCTCGGAGGTCGTGCACGATCCTCTGAGTGATGTTGACGTTCTCAGGGTGATGCTCCCCGCGCTGTGTTATCTGGCCGTTGAGGAGGAGGCGAGGAAGATTCTGCTGAAGCACAAGCAGGAGGAGGTGCTGTTCGAGTGTCTGTCGTACCACTGGACCATCGTTCATTACAAGAAGCCACCGGTGCCGAGGGCAGAGCGTCTCAAGGCACTCAAGGAACCCCAGAAGGAACTCGACCCCAAGACTCTGGAGGAGATGAAGGACTCCAGGGCTGCCATGGTCTCCATCTGCAATGTTCTCATGAATATCACGGTTCTTGAGGCCAAACTCGTCGAGCAGTCCGCGACATTCGTGTCCATACTCAAGTTTATTTTTAATAATCTTCCGGAGCTGAAGCAGATCAGCGAGAATCTCGTGCTTCATGGGCATCTCGCTGTTCTCGGGCTGCTCCTACTCAAGCAGCAGGCGAAGCTCGTCAAGAAGAACGATTTCAGTATTTGTCGGTATATTCAGGCCACCATCAGGTTCCTCTGGGACGCCTACGTCGTGGACGAGAGCAGCGACCCCACGGAGCTCGTCGTTGCCATGTTCTATAAGGAGCACTGGATGGAGATCATGGAGCTCTGGTTCCTCGGCATGCAGACCATGGCTGGGGTCTTCGCCCTCATACCCTGGCTGACCGAATTCGCTATTGAGTCTGGGTGGATCGAGGGCATGATCGAGATACTCAAGAAAGTCAGGATTGGCTCGCTACCCCCCAATGTCAAGTCCGCTTATGAGGATTTACTCTGTCATCTTGTCAAGGCTGACTCCAATGTCGTCTCGGTTTTGAAGAAGAATGGGGCACTCACTGTTTGCAGAAATCATCGCATGATGGAGCTCGGAAAAAGTCTCTTTGGGGACTAGAATTTTTCATTCGGAGCTACAGGTTTTCTCGAATTGCTTAATTTTCATACTCGATGTACAAATAGGCATTTACGATTCAAATTGTCAGCCCCTTTTTTAACTATTTCATCCGGCGTTGAGGGGGATTTAAACATGTATGTGCGATTTTTTGGTGACGCCGATTGAGGCGATTGGTGGAGATAATGTAGCGTAATCTTTTTTTAATTAAAAGTATAACACATTTTTTTTACAAACGTGTTCGTTATTTCGAATTACCTGACATCATTAATCATGTGCCCTTGTGTCTCTGGGGATAAATGTTGAGGATTATTGTTGAGACTGTTGTTGGCACAACTCATTTTGTTGTGATTACAGCAACTCTTCCACGGATGCTAGTCTTCACGTGTTCAATATATCGGCACGACTAGTGAAAATTGAGTGAAAAGTGCAAATTTTCATAGGTAATCCATCTAATGCATTAAGTCATCCATAATTACAGCCATTTTTTATCAGTTTAAAGACAGAATACGACTTGAAATAATTCATTTCTACACGAGAAATTTGAATGCAATTATTTCCAGTTGTATCACGTACGAAAAATTTAATAGAAAAGCCCAGTGATTTCTCCCCGAAATTCTATTGGAAATCAGGAACTCTCGATCTCCTATTTCACTCAAAATCCAGGAAAAAAAAATTCTTGTTCAACAGAATTTCTCCCGGAGACCTGAAACTTTCTGTTAATTTTTTTCGTACGTATTCTTTCAATCGTGAGTGGAGATTATTGAGTAACAGTATTGTTTTTCGTTACTTTGATTGAATGATTTAGTTAACGGAGGAACTGACACAGCTGTACAATGTACCGCAAGAGACAGCTTCGCGAATCACGGCGAATTATCTCAAGCAGTTTAGAAAGTGTCCCGACAATCCGGCGTACGATTTGGACACTTGGAGGGAGTCGTTGTGGGCTAAGGCTCTGGGAAAGTACTCGCATGTCACGGGGAAGGTTTACGAGAGGTGGTTGTACCTGAGGTACTGTTATTTGAAGATGCCGGGGGACACGGTGGAGATGCTGGTGGAGCTGAGGAAGAAGTATCTGCTGGGGCTGATCACGAATGGGCCGTCCTGTGCGCAGAGGGAGAAGGTGCGGCGGCTGGAGCTGGCGCGGTATTTCGATATCGTTCTGGTGTCCGGGGATCTGCCCTGGGAGAAACCCCAGGCCGAGATTTTTCAGGAGGCCTGTCGCTCCTTGGGGGTGCGGCCCTCCAATTGTATTATGATCGGGGATAAGTTGGAGAGTGACATCAAAGGTGAGGGGGGAGATGGGGGATGGGGAATTTCATTTCGTTTCATTTATTGCGTTTTTCATTTTTTTCTCCTCCACATTTTATCCGAAATTGATTATTCATAATTATTTTTATTGTACTGTATGGGATTGGGGAAAATAATGGGTCTCTGATTATCAACTGCTCAATTCTCATTCTTCAATAAGGGAATTTCATTTCGTTTCATTTTATTTCGTACTAGCTTGTGTTTTTTTCATTTTTTCTTTTCCATATTTTCTCCGAAATTGATTATTCGTAATTATTGTCATTGTACTGTATATGATTGATGAAAATAATGTGGCTGTATTCGTCACCTGCTCAATTCTCATTTTTCAATAGTGGGATTTCACATCGTTTTATTTGATTTCATACTAGCGCCATTAATGCTGGTGTTGATGTCCATTTATTGTGTTTGTTATTTTTTTTCTTTCCACATTTTCTCCAAAATTAATTATTCATAATTATTCTCATTGTACTGTATATTATTGATGAAAACAATGGGTTTCTATTTATTACCTACTCCATTTTCATATTTCAATAAGGGAATTTCATCTCGTTTTATTTTATTTCATACTAGCGTAACTCATTGTCCATTCGTTTTTTTGTTTTTTTTTCCTTTCCACATTTTCTCCAAAATTAATTATTCATAATTATTCTCATTGTACTGTATATTATTGATGAAAACAATGGGTTTCTATTTATTACCTACTCCATTTTCATATTTCAATAAGGGAATTTCATCTCGTTTTATTTTATTTCATACTAGCGTAACTCATTGTCCATTCGTTTTTTTGTTTTTTTTTCCTTTCCACATTTTCTCCAAAATTAATTATTCATAATTATTCTCATTGTACTGTATATTATTGATGAAAACAATGGGTTTCTATTTATTACCTACTCCATTTTCATATTTCAATAAGGGAATTTCATCTCGTTTTATTTTATTTCATACTAGCGTAACTCATTGTCCATTCGTTTTTTTGTTTTTTTTTCCTTTCCACATTTTCTCCAAAATTAATTATTCATAATTATTCTCATTGTACTGTATATTATTGATGAAAACAATGGGTTTCTATTTATTACCTACTCCATTTTCATATTTCAATAAGGGAATTTCATCTCGTTTTATTTTATTTCATACTAGCGTAACTCATTGTCCATTCGTTTTTTTGTTTTTTTTTCCTTTCCACATTTTCTCCAAAATTAATTATTCATAATTATTCTCATTGTACTGTATATTATTGATGAAAACAATGTGTCTCCATTTATGACCCCCTCAATTTTCATATTTCAATAAGTAATTCGCTAATGATCCTCTCCAGACACATCCTATAATTTTTCTGTGAACATTATCTAACCAACTCTGATACCCTCACACCAAAACACCGAGTATTTTCTTCCGATTCGTCATTTTTCCACAATTCCATTCGACGACTCCATGAATTTAAAAACATGAATTTTTCTAAAACTAAGAGGGGAGTGTGACAGATGAGCTAGATGGTTGCAGACGTGGGCATCAACCGTACTGAAAAAAAAGGAAAAAAAAATTGAACAATTGTAAAAAATAAATATCAGCCCCTGAAATCAGTACTAACAGACCAAAAGAAAAAGGGAGAGACCAAAAAAGTGCCCAGATTCAAAAGTGAAAGGGGACCTTTCCACTTCAAAAAACATTCTCTTCAATATCCTCAAAGGAAAAGGATCGGTGGTGGGACACACACATTTCGTATTTCGATACGAGTGCGTAATAGTATATTTCGTTACGAGTGCGGAAATAGTATATTTCGTAACGAGTGCAAAAAAGTGTTTTTTGGCGAGTGATATAATCCCACGAGCTAAAAAACATTTTTTCACGAGTTACGAACACTGTTTTTCATCACAATGTGGCGGAAATTGGGTTCACTTTTCGTCACAGCGTGATGAAAAGAGTTTTTTGGCTCGTGGGATTATATCACTCGCCTTCGGTTCGTGCTAAAACTAAAAAACACTTTTCCCACGAGTATCGAACGATATTTTTCATCACAATGTGTGGAAAAGGGACGTTTTCGGCACGCGAAGCGTTCCTAAACAGTTACTTTTTCGCACAACGTGATGAAAAAGTGTTTTTTGACCGATGGGAGGCGTGTCGCGCTCGCCGAAGGCGAGTGCTGCCCTCCCACGAGTCAAACAACACTTCTCACGAGTGTCGAATCCTATTTTTCATCACAACGTGTGGAAAAATCATTGTCATCACTGTTTCCTCGCGATTTCATGACGCTTTCTAACGATTTCTTTGTTGCATATTGAACCTAATGACTCACTAAAAATGTCAAATACGAATCATCAATTCCAAAATATGAAATAGTTTTGAATCCTCCAAATCCTAAAGCCGTGTTTTCCCCAGGGGGAATCGAGAGTGGCCTAGCCGGCACCGTCTGGATCCCACTCTCCGACAAAACCCGGCCATCGCCGGACGACCCCAAGCCCGACTACACCATCAAACACATCACCGATCTCATGGCGATCCTGAACAAGCGGCCTGGCGCCCCGGAGCTCGAGGACTCCTCCTCCAACGCTTCGGACGGAAGTTGATCGTTCTCTCCTGACGAGGGCTAGCAATAATTGAATTTCCGTTCAAGTTATAGAAATCACACAATTATTCGAGGCACCTATTTTTCGGGGAAGTAGATCAGGGGAGGGTGGGGTTAAACGGACACTTTAGACTTTTTTTCAATTATTCATAACTCAGAAACTAATTGATCAATTGAGCTCAGTTTGGGCTCGTCACAAAGGGAAAGAATTGTCCTTTGTATCCAAAATAAAATTATTGAATTTTATCAATACTTCAAACCCTCATTAACATTTAAACAAAAGTCAAAAGTGTCCGTTTTACCCCAACTTCCCCTATCGTAGATTACGTAGGAATTAATTCTACCAGAAGTGCCCTATTGTTAGAGCTATTGAGTTACATCAACAGTCGAATGGCAAAACCTCGTAATTTCATTGCGTAAAATAACTTTTCGAGACTATCAAAAATGATATATTGTATTATCACAATACTTGTACATTATATAATAATGTATGTTTTTTTTTAATACTGAAAAAAAAATTCTAGACTGAAATTGTCACGTCTTGCCACTCCACTGACAGGATTTCTCTGAAAATGTACAGATCAATTTTAACACAAAATAGAACAAATAAATTGCACTAAACATCCTTAAAAAGCACATTGACCTCATCAATATAGAAATTACAGCATGATTACCGTAAAATGTTTAGACGTAAAACTTGGATGCTTATATTTTTTTACAGACACATCATAGCTCAAGTTTAATAATCGTAGTCGACAGAACACATGAATGAACCCTGTATATATCTTAAAGATAACATTGTTATGATTCTTGTGTTTCCGAATAAATTTACGTTCCCTGTGGATCAATCCTCTCCGACGTGGACTCCTCTTCATTGATCACCGACTCTATTTCAGATTGCCACTCTATAGACTCCTCGGACACCTGAGACGCATCGGAGTCTCCAGAGTCGTAACCAGACTTATTCTCCTCGCTTTTGCCACCTCTTCTGCTGGCCTCGGTGGTCCTCTCACTTCTGCCGGTTGTGCTTTGATTTTTCTCGACTGAAGAATACGTTTTCTCGGTCGACGAGTCGATCTCCTGCTCATCCTCGTCTTCCTCGTCGGAAATGCTCAGGGATGACCTCAGCTGGCGCAGTTTCTTGAGCATTTTCTTCTTGTTTAAAGAGGATAAGTTCTTTGTCAAATGTTTCTTGAGGACTTTTTTAATCTCCTCGTCCCTGTGAACGCCGGTTTCTATGATCTCTTGAGTTATTTCGTGAAGGAATTTCAGGTATTTCAGGTTTTCCAGCTGTTTTTTTCGGCTCCTTGAGGGCTCCCTCTTCGGGGATGACGACTTTTCCTCTTTCGAGACCGGAATTCCACGCTCGGAGGCCTTCGTCGAGGCCTCGAAGCTCGACTCGTAGTCAGAATACAGTTGATCGTTCGGATAGGGCTTCACTTCCGGTCTTTCGGGCTCAATTACGTGCACCGTGGGTTTACAACTGGTGAGTTCTTGCCTCGATGGGGCATTTCTTCTGGAATTCATCGAGTGTTTGTCACGGTTCTGACTCTTGAAGGATGCCAGAGACTTCGTGGAGCCTTTGGTCGGACCAGAACTCGGTTGCAACATCTCCTGAAAGAGTTTACGTTAATTAAATTTACATTAATTAACACGTTTGAGGAAACGAGAGGACGAACGATTGCAATGTGCAGCTAAATTTCAGCCTGTCCCCTCGTGAAGAATTCTGATGGTCAATGTTCCCTTCCGCAGAGGGTAATTCAATTCTTTTCAAAATTAAAAAGACGTATTCTTCAATATTAAAACGACTTCCGAATTTCATTGATAAAGGTTCAAATATACTCATTAAAATTAAAAAATAGTAAAATATTAATCATTTTAAATATTCGATTGATGAATTGAATATTTGATAATATGGAACTGTAAATTTTTCATTGAGTAAATGATTCTAATTTCGGGAAAGGGATTATCCAAATTATTGTCAATCTTCTTACCTAAGTTATTGATTAATAACATAATTCGGAATTTGAATATTTAAATTGATCATTACTTGAATAATTAAAATTTTAAGAGTGATCTTGACTAATCGACGGCTTCAAAATTAATTGAAATTACATGAAATTAATTAAAAAATTAATTAATTTAATTTAAAGTTAATTTAAATTACATTAATTTAAATTTCATTTTATTTAATTTTATTATGATTTATGAATATGGCTATCCCTGATGTGAAATGATCACTCACGCTTTAGCACTGATTGCAGTACTAATTACATCGATTGATGATGAATTGAATATTTGATAATATGGAACTGTAAATTTTTCATTGAGTGAATGATTATAATTTCGGGAAAGGGATTATCCAAATTATTGTCAATCTTCCTACCTAAGTTATTGATTAATAACAATTCGGAATTTGAATATTTAAATTGATCATTACTTGAATAATTAAAATTTTAAGAGTGATCTTGACTAATCGACGGCTTCAAAATTAATTGAAATTACATGAAATTAATTAAAAAATTAATTAATTTAATTTAAAGTTAATTTAAATTACATTAATTTAGATTTCATTTCATTTCATTATGATTTATGAATATGGCTATCCCTGATGTGAAATGATCACTCACGCTTTAGCACTGATTGCAGTACTAATTACATTAATGAAATTTCTGATCAATTAAATAAATGCATTATCAAGATTAAAGAAAATATCCGTAAAATTATCTCAAATTGACAGACGTATCATAAAAAAATTTAATAATGACATTCGAAGGGATATGATTGGAGGGACATGAGGAAACGACGTACGATCAAGTGGTACTGGGAATTCCGAGCGGATCTCGTGATGTTGTCGTAGGAGTGACACTTGTGCAGGCATTTCTCTCCCCTCAGGTACTTGTAGTTGTCGTGCCTCTGGACATACCGTGGGTTTTTCGAGTCAACCACACATTTCGCTTGCAATACTCGACGGAGGTGAGTGTTCATGTGATTGTACACTCCCAATTGTTGGAAGAAATTCTCACCAGTTTGATTGTACACTGAAATCAGCAGAATGTTGACAACATTTCGTGAAGATCAAATCGAAATTTTTTAACATTCACTTGGAGTGGAATAATTTTTTTCAAGTCGTTTGTTCACTCGAGTCTCCGGAACGAGAATTAAATGAATATTTGGTATTCTCTATTTCATTTAATAAATATTTCATCAATATTTCATTTTTTTTTAATTCATATTTTATAAATCACACCAATTTTTTCATATATTTTGAATGAAATTTCTATATCTCAGTTTTGAAATATCATTTTATTCCATTCTCATTTCAACGACTTGTGGCTCAATTAATACGGGCCTTACAATTAAATTACATTAATGACAATTCATTTTCATTTTTAGAAATTCCTGTCAACAGCGTTCAACGATTAATTAAAATGTTATCACAGTAGAGCGCAAATAGAATTTTTTGTCGACTACATTCATTTCAGATTTTAAACTTGTGTGAAATTTTTTTACCTGAACTCTTCACTGATAAATAGGACCCACAACAGGCTGTCATATTTCCTTACGCACTGAGCCGAGGGATAAAAACAGTGACGAGTCGGTAAATCCTGTGTTTGTGAAGGTCCGTTGCGTAGCAACGGTCAAACTCGTCCAAGAAAATGGCGAAAAACAGGATTCTTATGCCCCAGAATTGGTCAATTGCGTTATTGTTTAATATGTGGACATACAGCATTGTCAGCGTGACACTTGCCAGCGTAACTGGATTATGCTGACCAAGTGACGAAATATAAACAATGTATTATTTAAGAGACGGTTGAGTCCGCACAGATCAGACCTGAATTGAACTGCGACGCGTGCAAAAGTCGTAAACTCTTTGTAATCAGTCAGATGAGACAGTAATTATACTCAAGTAATAAATTCTCATATTTAAATGCCGATAAACCATTGGTGGGATTTATCCCTTCAAGCCTAGAACCTACTATAATTATAAATACCCCCCACGCTGGGTACAACAGCATTCAATAGATTTTCTATATGAATGTGTCAATTATTTCGGTCAACCATTTTGAAAAAAAAAAAAAAAAACTTTGTTTTCTTTTCAATCACCGAAATATTATGAAATGACAATATTTACTTACCCCTCACTCCTCGCTGGAAGCTGATTAATAAATAAAAAATAAAAGAAGAAATTTAATATTTAATTTTAAAAGAAATTTTCACTATTTGTACAAAAAAAATCTTAATGCGAAAAAATACAATATTTCATTTTATACTGAGTACACAATCATCATGAATATCAATTATCATACATTTTTATTTCCTCATTTATTTTGGTTTATAAGTTTATCCACGTTTAACACTTAGATCTACTTTGTACAATCATTGTTCATTCATTATTATCAATAACTCATTATCCTTTTCATTACACTGTGAAGAAGTACTCCGTTGTGTTGTGGCTGATGTGATTCCCTGTGATTTCTTTATTTCCTCTTTTAATTATTACGATTAATACATTTTTTTTTTGTTGTCAGCAACACGTATAAAAATTCATAGACTAACTCGCTTCAGAAGTCTGTAAGCATATGAGACATTTTTTTCGTCAACTCGGACAGTAAATTTTCTTAATTAATTGTTCCAGCAGAGGAGCTGTTTTTTTAGAGAGCAATTCTTTTTTTTCGGCGGACTTGCGATTGCTGCAGATTACTGTTCGAAATATTTATGAGTATTTGTGTTTTCGAGGCATCCAATGTGACGAATAAAATAGTATTTGAAGTTTTTGAATCTGGAAAATTCTATTTGAAGAAATTTCTATTTTTAATTTTCTCTATCATAACCAACTACGTAAAATTCAATTCCATTAATCAACTAAACTTCTTATTGATAAATATCTTGAAATCGACGGGAGATGGTGAAAATTTCATGAGGACATTTCCTGAAGAACGAAGTGAGATCTGCAAAAAAGATCTCAACGATAATTTCCCCATCTCCCTTAGATTCCCCCGAATTCTCCAAAATCTGATCTTCAACTAAAATTGACAATAAATTCAGTACCGAATTGTTTTTTACGGAATATCTCCGAACGTACGGGAGATAGCGAAATTTTTGTAATGACCTTTGTTGTAGCTCTCAAATCGCTCTACAAAAAAGGTCATTACGAAAATTTCGTTATCTGCCTCAGATTCCGAGATATTCATCAAAAACTAAGGAGTAGTCCAAATTGACTTGAACCGTTTTACGGTTACGACCATCTCTAAAAAATTTATTAATTTCGCCACCTCTAGAGTAACTCCTTGGTAATCTGAAGGTTGTGGGTTCAAATCCTCCTCTAATACCCCATCAAAACAATAAAATTGTTCTCCCCACTCTCCCCCAATTCCCAGAGACCCTCCCACCCCTGCAGCAATCGCACCTCCACCGCAAATGGATCCCCGTTTCCTCAAAAAAATTAATTCCATCAATTTACATATAAGTTTTCAAGGGTGGGCGGCGAGCAATCATTCACTCCGCGAAACTCTCAACTATCACCCAGCGTTATAAATTAATGCGCAGCCGGAAAAGTCGAAATAAATGTTTAAAAAACAACATGCGAAGTTATTAGACATGTAAAACATTGCATTTGCCTCGATACAATAAATACCGTTGAAACAAAAGAGAAAAAATGACCGTTGGCACAGGATTTTTCCCAGTTTACCCACCCCCTGGCCCAAAATAACCCTTTGGCACCGGAAAAATAAATGTTTCATACTGCAAAAAAGATCTTGCTTTAATCAATTATTATACACATTATGTACAACAACACCAGCGATCAATCGATCGTGATTTTTTTTTCATTTCATTCATTTTTTATAAGTAAATAGGTTTTCTTTAACGTACACAAAATATTCTGTATATCATCTGTATCCAATGGGACACCACTACTCCATTACTTTAATTCACATCAATAGCGACGCATTAAAACCGTTAAATTCAATGTTTAATATGAAACAATGATTTTGCAATGAGAGAAAACAAAATAAATCTACATTTTACGTCTAAAAACTCTCGATTCCATTATTTTTCCTTTCCATCTGTTTTATTTTCCACCCAATAAAAATAAAAGTTGCAAAAAAACGTGTAAGACAATGAATAAATCAATAGGGAGTGAAAATAGATTTATAAAGCACAAGATTTCCAAAGAAAAAAGTAACTATGAAAAATCGATTAGCGACTTGTCATCAAATTTCCTCCATCTAAACATCTTCAATCATTAGACTCAGCAATTTGAACTTTTTCTCGCAGTTCTAAAAATGAACTCTCCTTTTCCATTTCGAAGGGGTTGACAATCTGCGTCATCAATATCTAAGGAAATAAAGGAAAAAAAAACAACAGAAGGAATTAGGACAAACAGAAGGATTTTGTTAATCAATCAAGACTTAATCGTTAATGAGGATTAATGGGAAATAAATATTTATGCTTTAGATTATCAGTAACACAAGTCCTATCGACGGTAATTTATTTCTGTCCCTCTGAGGTGCTGTGATGTCTCAATTCGTTCATTATATTTTTACAATTCCTCGTTAAACAGCGATTGGCGCCTTAACTGGCTGATTATGCCGGATCAATCTGGATTATTTATCACATTTGGCATGAGAATTTAAACACCCGTTCGATTATTGTTACAATCATTGTGGTTTATTCTAGGTTCTAGGCCTATTACAGATACTCTTAGGATTATTATTGTTTCGATCGTTATGATTTTCTGTTATTGTTGCTCGCCTGTGGGCTTCACACTTTTTTTTAAATTAATAAAATGAAATTTTGAAGAGTGACTTGAGGATTAATAATTAATAAAGTTGGATTCATTTTTATAGGAATTGAAATTTTGAATCTTTGAGGTTTCTTGATTGTAACAAAATTAATTAATAACATTCTTGATTGATGAGGCAATATAGGTGAGTGGATGTGTGCTTTCGGCTAACATCAAGGCCCCCTGAGTTCAGATTAAACAGATCTTGGGAAATCGAGAGGCGATCGGTCCGACCGTGCTAACTGTTTTATGGGCGGAATTATAAATTCGAGACGAGGGATTTGTGGAGCAGATTGTGGATAATGACACATGGGAATTTATAGCCCGTTCGTCAGTCCAATGAGACTGGGAGAATGGGTCATTGCTATTTTTATTGGAACGAAACTGTTGATATTATTGAAATAAAAAGGGGCTTTGTCGCTGGTGTCACAGAACTGGGAATCATGCTATTTTTAATAATTATTTCTGTTGTCAATTCTATGTGAAGTATTGCACATAAAAAATGGAAATGAACATAAAAAATCTTTTTTTTTCGTATTATTCACGAACATTTGCTCAAATAATTGTTCAACATTCTTTGAAACGAATAAATTTGAAATTTGTAATTGATATTTTTGTGATGAAGAATAATTTAATTTCGTATTCATAAGTAGCGAAAAAAATTGATTTCATTTCAGTTTTATGAACTCAAATAAATGAATTCTATTCAGCATTAAAAATAATTGACTTGAAATAAGAATTTAAAATTGTAATTCCATTTGTTTTCTGTGAATTAATTCCCAGCTCTGCTATTAATCCGCCTGTAATTGACCATTACCTCAAATAATTCTTTTCCATTCTTTGAAATGAATAAATTTGAAATTTGAAATTCATATTTTCGTTATGAAGACCAATTTCTCTAATTTCGTATTCATAAATAGCGGAAAAAAATCGAAAACCCATTTAATTTCGGTTTTATAAACACAAACAAACGAATTCGATTCAGAATAAAAAATAATCAACTTGAAATAACTATTCAAAATTACAATTCCATTTGATCTTCATGAATTAATTCTCAGCTCTGTAATTAAAAGTTGATCTCCTCTGAATAAATAAAAAAATTATGCTTTCAAGAGCCTATTCATCATTTAAATCAGTGTAAGTACACGTACTAGCGACGAAAAATCGCCAGTAACCAAAAAAATGGTGTATACCTATGTACATAGTGCCAACCGCACCACGAGCTTTTGCTAAAATAAAACCCCAAGGAAAAAATTCCCTCAACGACCCCCAACCGCTTCAAAATCCTCCATTCACCCCTAACTTACGTCTAAATCCTTCAAATATGGTGCAAAATTCAGTGAAACCGCCCCTCGTTTCCACCACTTACATAAAAAATGAGGAAAAAAAAGTACTCAATCGATGGGAAAATAATGGAATCCATTCGTCAATACGAAAAAGCCAAGAGTTGTTGGTTGAAAGTAAAGCATTAGCGGAATAATTATACCAACGAATCATTAAATAAATTGTCACGCCACATAAGCGAAATGAAAAAAATAATGCATGTATTACAAAAAAAAATGGAATGACTGATAGTTTCGACTCCTGAGGATTGAAGGGGACTTTTGCTAAATAATTAATTTTACTTTGACAAATATCATTCACCTTCAATCGTCCAAGACAGTGTCCAATTCGTATCCTCAATAGACACTATTATACATTTCATAGAGTGACTCTCAGCATTGCACAATGCACTACATCGCAGTGAAAGTAAAGGGAAGAGGACAAATTGTCTAGTAAAAATTTCACAAATTCATGATTCAACTTTTACACTATCATTCAACGATTAAAAGAATATCGAGAGAAAGAGAGTGAGTGTGTAGGTATTGTGCAATGAATTAAAACAGTTAACTTCGGGATGAAGTCTAGGTTTTTGTTTATAATTTTAGATTTGTTTTTATTCATTTGCGTTTTTTGCTCTAGGACGATGTTATTGAGATTACGGCGTTGAATTTTGTTAGGTTGAGGGATAATCGTATTTGAGACTTACGCTCTTCGCTCTGCTGGGACATACTTCACGAAAAACTTGCTCGATGAGGGGTTGCCTGAAAAAAAAAAATTATCGTGATTTTTTTTCGCTTTTCTTTCATGAGTTAAATTTTCTCCTCGAAATTATTTCCTTAAAAAATATGGATAAAGACATGTTTTAGGATTAATCAATTATTTCAATGTATTTACTCAAATGAGAGAATTGAATTTGACAAGTGAAAGTTATAAATAAATTGAGGGATTGCTTTGACAAATTGACGCGCTCTGCATTAGTTTTGAAATATGATTTTTATTTCATTTTCATTCACGACGACAGAGGAATTCTCAACAAAAACCCAATTACTGGGACAAGGACAGATTCTATAGCCATTCCAATTACCAGACATTGCAGAATATTTCTAATTATGTTTGTTGGAATTGAGCCAGTTTTTTTCAGAGTCAAACGCCTTTACACTTGAACGTGAGGAGCTCAGAGGTGTACTTATATAAACTTTATTTCAAGATCTAGAGATTTTTGGATCGACAATCAGTGGCGAGGATTTTATCGGAGAGGAGAGTACCGGTCAGTGATTAATTTTTCTATTGAGGTGATTTTTTAATGAAAATAATTCGGTGATGATGGAATATGTGATTGTTAATTCAATATGTTCAGGTATGATTTTATGTTTTGAATTTGTATTCAAATTTTTTGAAATATTTATAATCAATAAGCAAAAAAATCTATTTGAGAATTAACAAAAAATTTTCTGGGATAATCGTATTTAATGATTCAGAAACAGACAGAAAACTTTTATTTTAATTTTTTCAATCAAAATAATCAATTAAAAATTAATATCTTTCAATTTGTATGCAAATTCTTTGAAATATTTATAATCAATTGACATTTTTTGATCATAAAAAACGATAAATAAAATGATTTCAATTTTTTTTCATTCTATACTCATTGAAATAGTGAAATAACGCAGGAAATACTATTAATTTCCCCAAAATAACGATTTTCATAGGACTTTTGTTAAATAATGAATAAAAAATAATAGAAATACTCACTTTGCTGGAAGACCACCACCTGGAGGTAAATTTGGCAGATCTTGGTCTACAAGGAGCTGTACTAACTGGAGGTAATCAAAGCCATCCTTGTCCTCTTGCTGCTCCACAATTTCTGCCGGAAATAATGAGTCAGATAAGTAAATCAAACATGATCTAAACGTGAATTAATTCCAGATATCAACGATTACTGTTCCATCCACTTGTAGAACAGTTCAATCTCTTTTCGTCTCGATAAACTATTTTATTTCAGGGGAAAGTGACGTGGCGAGTGTCATATTTCAATATTAACAATCTATGTAATTAAAAAAGTTTAATAAATGACTCTATCAGTGCTGTTTTTACTCATTTCCACATGAACCTTTCATTTTTTACATTTAATTAAGAACTGAAGGGATAAAACGAAACATTCATCCGAAATTTATGAAAAAATCTGGTATTTTTAGCTGATTTATCTCATTTCATCCCTTCACCATAAAAAAAACAGGTAAAATGACGTATATTTTGGGGGACATGTACAATTGACTCATTTTTCTTTCGTACAATGGAGAGAAACTGGGGAATGACGTGGAAAATTCTCCCCAAATCATCACACAACGTCTTTATTCTCAACTGAATGTCTGTCATCATCATTATTGTTATTCTCGAGGAATCCTCAGCGTACAACAGTCACTCTCTATTACGCGAGTGGTTCCTCGGGCGAATACAACAGCAGAGAGATAATAGTGAACGTGAGTATTTGAATTTCATTGAACCTTTGATTCGCCTCTCGATAGCCTTTTCTAATTCCGCCTCCTTCCTTTGTGCCTCGGCGTTTGGCTTTGGTGCTGCTGGAAATGTCACTAGTACTATGCTCATATTGTCTCTGCTGCCCTGTAATTGAGACATTAATCAAAGTTATTTACGTTGCTAATTCGTGAAATACTACGAATTGCGATTTTTTTAATTAGAAAAATTCTATTGGAAATCATTTCCAATTTTCAATTAATAAAGAATTTCTAAGTGAACATTATTTAAATTAAATTAAAGTGAACATTATTTGAAGTATAAAGAACTCCTCAGAACCTCAGACTCACAAAACACGAAAACGCATTAAAAACCTTCAACCGAAAAAATAACCTCATATCATAAATAAACCTCTTCACTCGCCTGAAAAAAAATGTTGAATTTAACAAATTCAATCCGAAGTAATTCCCATATTTAAAGATCAAAATTCGAATAAATAAATACTATTAAATAATCCTCAATAATCCATTAAAAAATTAAATCAATTAAATTTACTATTTGAAGTATAAAAAACTCCTCAGAACCTCAGACTCACAAAACACGAAAAGGCATTAAAAACCTTCAACGGAAAAAATAAGCCCATCTCCAATAAATAAAACTCTTCACTCGAATGAAAAAAAAATTTGAATTTGACAAATTCAATCCGAAGTAATTCCCATATTTAAAGATCAAAATTCGAATAAATAAATACTATTAAATAATCCTCAATAATCCATTAAAAAATTGAATCAATTAAATTTACCATTTGAAGTATAAAAAACTCCTCAGAACCCCAGACTCACAAAATACGAACGCATTAAAAATTGTCAAACGAAAAAAAATAATCCCATATCATAAATAAACCCTCCACTCGACTGAAAAAAAATTCCACGCACCTTGTAAAGACAAGTATCAATAACTTGATTGGTAACAGCCTCTAAATCATCGGTGAGCAGTAGTCTGGAGTAAATAAAATCACAGAGATCCTCATTGGTCATAACATCCCAAATGCCATCGCACGCAAGAACGAGGAACTCGTCGTGCTGTGCATCCCGATCCCTGACGAATATCTCGGGTTCAGGTGAGACAAGTTGTTCGCAGGGTCCTCGTCCCTCGACATTCTTGTACTCATAGTCGCCAAGTGCCCTGGACACAGCGAGTGACCCATTGACCCGTTGCACCATGACACTGCCCCCAGCAGCCTGAATCCTCTCCTTCTCAGCAGGCAGTACAGGCTTGTGATCTCTAGTGGCGAACACTGGATTCCCAGAGCTGCAGAGGACAGCCCTTGAGTCACCGCAATTAGCAATGTAAATGTGCTTAGGTGATATAAATGCACAGACAGCTGTGGAGCCGGACTTTTCAACGTTAATCTGGGGCAAATCACGCATTTCGTGATCTAGTCTCAGAAAGCCCGAGTGAATTCCCTTTATTACATCCTCAGCCTTGAATTCCTCTGTTTGCATTATGGACTCGAGTAAATGCTCGGCACTGTGGGCTGACACTAGTGCCCCTGCGTGACCATCGAATACAGCAAAGTAACTCCAGTCTGAGAGGCCACCCTCTAGACCTGTTATCGCACGGTGTGCGTCCTCCATCTCCATTCGCCAGCCCTGCATGCTTGCCACACCGTAACGCAAGTCATTGCCAGAACCGTGCTCATTGTATTTCTCGGTGTTTGGGGTGTCTAAGAAGGCTCCCATTTTTCGCTGGTAATACTTCGGTTTTTCTCTTTCAGAATTTTTTGGACTCCTCAGGACGGGTTGTTGGCTTTTTTATCTGGAAGAAATGGGGGGTTATTATTAGGCGTTTGGGGGGTGGGGAATTTGTGAGGGCGAGGAGGTAGGGGGTAAGAGGTGATTGGGGTTCTTCTTGGTTGACTGCTTGAAGTCGTGGGTCTGGGGTGAAAGACTGGGTTGGCATTTTGAATATTTGAGAATTAGTGTTTGAAAACTCTGAATTTCTTCATGAAGTACTGCAAGTGGAACATTTTTAAGTAGTTTGAAGTACAAATGAATAAATTCGTACTACATTAAATTAATTAAATAGTGCAAACGAAACTGTCTTCAAATACTCCGAAATACGAATGAAAGTGCCCGATAATCCGAATTAATCAATCAAAATTCAATTCCATTCAATAATCACCCCAACTTGATATTGGTAGGGGAGCATGGGGCAAAATGAAACACGGGGCAAAATGAAACAGTGGGAAAATCTCGTCATCTAAAGGAGATAGGACATTTTTGAAGAGGACCTTTTTTGTAGATTGTAAAATTCTCTACAAAAAAGGTTTTCATGAAAATCGTCCTATCTCCCTTAGATCACAAGATTTTCTTGCTGTTTCATTTTGCCCCGTGTTTCATTTTGCCCCACCGTCCCCTAAATATCTCGAAATTTACAAGAGATATTAAAAATTTCATTAGGACATTTTTTGAAGAGCAAAAAAGCTCTGAACATCAATTTCCCCACCATCAATTTTTTATCTGGAAGAAATGGGGGGCTATTATTAGGCGTTTGGGGGGTGGGGAATTTGTGAGGGCGAGGGGGTAGGGGGTAAGAGGTGATTGGGGTTCATCTTGGTTGACTGCTTGAAGTCGTGGGTCTGGGGTGAAAGACTGGGTTGGCATTTTGAATATTTGAGAATTAGTGTTTGAAAACTCTGAATTTCTTCATGAAGTACTGCAAGTGGAACATTTTTAAGTAGTTTGAAGTACGAATGAATAAATTCGCACTACATTAAATTAATTAAATACTGCAAACGAAACTGTTTTTAAATACTCCGAAATACGAATGAAAGTGCCCGATAATCCGAATTAATCAATCAAAATTCAATTCCATTCAATAATCACCCCAACTTGATATTGGTAAATATCTCAGAATTTACAAGAGATATTAAAAATTTCATTAAGGAAGGGTGGAANTCACCCCAACTTGATATTGGTAAATATCTCAGAATTTACAAGAGATATTAAAAATTTCATTAAGGAAGGGTGGGGTAAAATGGACACTTTAGACTTTTTTAAAATTATTCATAACTCAGAAACAAATTTATCAATTGACCTCAGTTTAGGCCCGCCACAAAGGGAAATAATTGTTCTTTCTATTGAAAAAAAAAATTATTAAATTTCATCAACATTCCAACCCCTCATTAACACTTGAAAAAAATTCAGAAGTGTCCGTTTTACCCCAACCTCCCCCAGGACATTTTTTGAAGAGCAAAAAAGCTCTGAACATCAATTTCCCCACCCAAAATTGTCAACCAATTGTTGACCCTCTCGATCAATACCTCCAAATGAAATCCTCCCCAAAACCCCCAAAAATTCCCGCACCCTCAAAAACCCAAACACCCACGAGGTTACGCTCGCCCTCCCCAAGCCCCTTGTTCCCCGTCCCAGCCGATCCCCGAAGCCCCCGAAACACCCCAAAAACCGCCAGCGCNCCCCCCCCCCCCCCCCGCCCACCAATTGGGAGACCGCAATTTACTTTTTTTTCTTCAACCAAAAAACCGACTGCAAGAGACAACACGAAGGTGCATCAATTTTTCACTGCATGTGTTCCCCTCCCCACGTACGTGTGAATGCTCCGTTAGTGTCTGTGTCGTGCATTCGCGTGCATCTCGGAGGATGATGTATATAAATACATGCGAGTGTTATGTCCAGATTTAATAAAAGGATTATGAACTTACGTAGGCTGGACTGCCTCGATCGGCATAACTCGACCCCTCGGACATACGCTTGGGCGAAATGATATCGCTAATCGACTCGTCTCATGTTTTTACAATGCTCCGTAAATATGAGCGTCACCATATTCCTCGCACTCTCGTATATTATTTCAACACTTGTACTATTACGCTTTATTTGTCGGTTTTGGACTCGTCGGGGGGGATTTATCCCTTGCCAATGGCTTTTCGGAGCTGTCGACTGGGGCTTCGGGGGGCCTTTTTATTTTATTATGCGAACTAGTATGAAGTGCACCTAGAGTACCTGTCCAATGGTCCCGCCTCTACACACAGAAAACAACGAGAATCTACCTTGGGAAACATGAATGGCGGATACGCACGGGGGGGGAGACACTGCGACTGCGCGGGGGCTATTTTTAGCCCACATCCGCGGTGGCGTCACGGCCGACCAATCGCCGCGGCGACGGGCGGTTTTGGCGCTTCGGGGAGGGGAACTTCCGGATTTTGGATCGTGCCCTGGTAAAATTGTCCGATTATTTCCGAGCGGGTGATAAGAAAAAATCGGCGTTAATGATGTTTCTGTCTTTGCTCGTTATATTCCGATTGGCTAGTAGGTAGAGTTTGGAGTTTGAGAAAATTATGAGAATTAGGGGAGGTTGGGGTAAAACGGACACTTTTGACTTTTTTTTAAATGTTAATGAAGGGTTGAAATGTTGATAAAATTTAATCATTTTTTTTTCATCACGCTGTGACGAAAAGTGAATTTCCGCCACATTGTGATGAAAAATATTGTTCGTAACTCGTGAAAAAATGTTTTTCAGCTCGTGGGATTATATCACTCGCCAAAAAAAACTTTTTTGCACTTGTTACAAAATATACTATTTCAGTTCGTGGGATTATATCACTCGCCAAAAAACACTTTTTCATCACGCTGTGACGAAAAGTGAATTTCCGCCACATTGTGATGAAAAATATTGTTCGTAACTCGTGAAAAAATGTTTTTCAGCTCGTGGGATTATCCCACAAACCCACAAACCTCCCACTCGCCAAAAAACACTTTTTTGCACTCGTTACGAAATATACTATTTCAGTTCGTGGGATTATATCACTCGCCAAAAAACACTTTTTCATCACGCTGTGACGAAAAGTGAACTTTTCGGCACGCTCCGCGTGCCTAACGTCCAATTTCCGTCACATTGTGATGAAAAATATTGTTCGTAACTCGTGAAAAAATGTTTTTCAGCTCGTGGGATTATCCCACAAACCCACAAACCTCCCACTCGCCAAAAAACACTTTTTTGCACTTGTTACGAAATATACTATTTCAGCTCGTGGGATTATATCACTCGCCAAAAAACACTTTTTCATCACGCTGTGACGAAAAGTGAACTCTTCGGCACGCTCCGCGTGCCTAAACGTCCAATTTCCGTCACATTGCGATGAAAAATATTGTTCGTAACTCATGAAAAAATGTTTTTTAGCTCGTGGGATTATATCACTCGCCTTCGGCTCGTGATATAATCCCACGAACTGAAATAGTATATTTCGTAACAAGTGCAAAAAAGTGTTTTTTGGCGAACGGGAAGTTTATATCACGAGCTAAAAAACATTTTTTCACGAGTTACGAACAATATTTTTCATCGCAATGTGACGGAAATTGGACGTTTAGGCACGCGGAGCGTGCCGAAGAGTTCACTTTTCGTCACAGCGTGATGAAAAAGTGTTTTTTGGCGAACGGGAAGTTTATATCACGAGCTAAAAAACATTTTTTCACGAGTTACGAACAATATTTTTCATCACAATGTAGCGGAAACTGGACTTTTAAGCACGCGGGGCGTGCCGAAAAGTTCACTTTTCGTCACAGCGTGATGAAAAACACTTTTTTGCACTCGTTACGAAATATCCTATTTTGCACTCGTTACGAAATATACTATTGTCAATACAAAGAACAATTTTTTCCTTTTGTGACGAGCCTAAACTGAGCTCAATTGATAAATTTGTTTCTGAGCTATGAATAATTTTTAAAAATTCTAAAGTGTCCATTTTACCCCACCGTCCCCTAATGGGAACAAGGGTATGTGGGCGTTATCGTCGGATTACTTTCCAAAAAAGTGGTTGATAGATCTCATATTATTCATCAAAAATAGTAATAACTTCAGACAGAATTTGTCAGCCTCAAAATTACCAACTAAGTAGTGTTAAATATTCCAGTGGGGGAATAGGACTTCACAATTTCAGGAAATGATCACTTGGACTTTCTCCTCTCCTCAAACCCTCACGAAGAAGAAAAATTGAAAAATACAAGTTTGGTGGCTGCAGTTTTTATTTCAATTCATTAACCATTTCAAAATAGAATTGCGTGATTTTGGTGGGCGACAGAAGTCCAAACGTAAAAGGTAAAATCATGAGAATTGCATATCTAACAAGTCGTGTAAAATTCAATACTTCTATTAAATATCCCCCCTCCCCATGTACATAATCGTGCCATAGTAGTATTCAATTCCAGTTCGAATAATTCACATGTCAACGTATTTGTTCCTACTTATTCAGTACAAAGCCTAAATCACGAGGCACCATGTACTTCCTAACAACCTCGTCCGTCACTTGACTCCTCCTCGCCTGGTGCTCGGCCACGAGCTTCTGCAGGACCTCTATCAACTCCTTCTTGAGCTCTCCAGTGAGTAGTTCTCCGCTCGTATAATTCTGAAATGAAAAATAAACAAATAAATCTCCACAATAAAAAAGCCACCAAATAAATCAGGAGCGAAGCGGTAAACCGGGTTGAGTCGATTTAAACCGTTGACCAGTTTTTGACGAATATCTCGGAATCTAAAAGAGATACAAAAATTGTTGTCATAACCTTTTTTGTACAGCCAACTGAGGGTTACAAAAAAGGTCATGAGCAAAATTTCACTATCTCTCTTAGATTCCGAGATATTCATAAAAAAATGGGCAAAAGGAAAAATCGACTTCAAATCACTTGAAATCAATTAACTTGAAATCAATTCTAAATTATAAAAAAATGATAAATAAATAAATAAATTCTGCATCTCATCCCCACCTTCCTCAGCGTCTCCAGCTTCTCATCGTCATCCAGGAAGAACCTCAGCCACTGATACGACGTGTCAATCTCGCAGTTGCCCCCGAGCCTCCTGTGCTCCTCCACGGTGGCCTGTCCCCCGGAGAAGGCGTTCTTATTGACCTTGTTCTTGATCTGCTTCGCCGAGTCCGTCAGGAAGATCGCAGAGTTGGTGTCGCTGGCCGACATCTTGGTCCTGGAGCCCTGGAGAGCTGGGAAGAAGATTGAGTGCAGTAGAGCTGGCTTAGGGAGTCCCAATTTCGGGGCGATGTCCCTCGTCATGCGGAAATAGGGGTCCTGGTCGATGCCGCAGGGGATGAGGCACTGGACCTTGGCCCCCTTGAAGATGAAGGGAAATGTCGTGGACAGGGCTGGGGCTGCCTGCGTCGGGGGGAAGGATATCTTGCCGATGGGGTCGCTGTCCCCAAAACCGAAGATCCCTTTCACCTGGTTGAACGTCACTCGCTTCTGGATTCTTATCATGTTCTTGTAGAACTCGGGGTTGTTGCCGATGTGCTCGAGGTTTGAGAAGATGAAGGTCTTGGCGGGGTTGAAGCCGCAGGCGATTATGTCCTTGGCGTTCTCGTGGGCCAGCTTGATCGCCTCGTCGATGTCCAGGTCCTTCCAGATGGCTTTCTCGTCGTCCGTCAGCTGGATCACCAGGGGTACGTCGAAGACGTCCTGCAGCCACTTGCAGAAGAGGAAGGAGATCAGGTGGCCCAGGTGCATCGCGTCGGAGCTCGGCCCTCTCCCTGTGTACAGGTAGAAGGGCTTGCCTGACTCGTAGAGGTTCAGCGCTGTGTGCATGTCACGGTGGGAGAAGAAGATACCTCGGCGGAGGAAGTGGTGGGGAGGGCGACCTGTCACCTTCTCGAAACGCTGGAGGAGGTCCTCGTCGATACTCGAACTGCCGAATTTTTCTGGGGAGTGGGGGAGGGCGAATGATTGATTGATTGATTTTTAGTGCTGCATATTCTGGTGTGCAAAAATAGTGGCAAAGCCACAAAGCAAATACACCCTGGAAAACTGGACGATTATTTCCGACTGGGTGATAAAAAATTAATCGGCGTTAATGATGTTTCTGTCTTTGACCGTTAAATTCCGATTGACTGGGAGGTAGAGTTTGGAGTTTGAGAAAATTGTGAGAATTAATGGGATCAAGGGTATGGGACCGTTATCGTCCGATTACTTTCCAAAAAAGTGGTTGATAGATCTCATATTACTCGATCAATTAAGAAACAAAAAATTTCATTTAAGTTTCTTTAATTATAGCCTACGCTTCAACAACAATTGTTGTCCTCTTCAGGGNCATTTAAGTTTCTTTAATTATAGCCTACGCTTCAACAACAATTGTTGTCCTCTGAAGGGCCAGTAATTAAATCCAAATAAGCGAAATCTCTCGTTTTTATCAAAACCAAACTGAATAAATATGTGAATTCCCAAAAAAAAAAATTAAACTTTAGAAATGTTGAAAATAAATAATAAGACAAATAAACCTTCTTCGAAATGTCTGTCATAACAGTTACGTTGGGCTGTACTAACACGTCCTCAATGATTACGTCCTCAATGGGCGTTAATGATGTTTCTGTCTTTGCTCGTTAAATTCCGATTGGCTGGGAGGTAGAGTTTGGAGTTTGAGAAAATTGTGAGAATTAAGGATGTTCTACACCCTTTCTGCCAAAATTCACGTTTTTTTAATTTTTCTGGCAAACTTATGATGGAATTGACGTGAAAAAATATAACGTTTTTGCGTTTTGTCATTATTTAATGACTGACGAAATTTTAAGGTGGTGCGAACATTTTCCTGCGTTTTCTCTAAACTTTTAAAAAGAATCAGTAGCGAAGCTAAACCGGGTTAAGTCGATTTTGACTATTGACCAGTTTTTGACGAATATCTCGGAATCTAAAAAAGATAGAGAAATTTTTGTTACAACCTTTTCTGTAGAGTCAATTGAGGGTTATAAAAAAGGTTATGAGAAAAATTTTGCTATGTCTTTTAGATTCCGAGATATTCGTCAAAAATTGGCCAAAAGTAAAAATCGACTTAACCCGGTTTACCGCTTCGCTACTGGAATCACAAACTGTAGAAAAAACGCATGAAAATTATCGCACCACTACGCAACTTCGTGCCATTAAAGAATGACAAACCACAATAAAATCGTTACATTTTTCACGTCACTCCCATCGATAATTTGCCAGAAAAATGAAAACATCGTCAATTTAGGCTAAAAGGGTGTCGAACATCCTTAATGGAACAAGGGAAACCCATCCTTTTAATCCTTTTTAATGCTTTTGAATCCTTTTTAATGCTGCCAAAATCTAATATTATTGCCTGTCCCTGGTGATCATCCCCTAAAATTGCATCATCCAAAAAAAAACGCCCAATTTTGACCGAGAAGAATCCCATTCTTCAAACCCCAAAAATTCCCACAGAATCCCATTCTCCAGGTCCCACTTTCCTCTCCAACAAAATCCTCAGCTCCAAAAATACTCCCCAAAAACCCAAATCTCGATGCAACTCCCCTCCGCCCCCCTACCACTCGATTACAATTAGAACCCCTCGACTAATGACACCTCTACTCACTGATAAGTTTATCATAATCGACTCCAGTGTCACTTTTGCTCTGCACACTCCACGGGGTAATGACATCGGCCTCTCCATCCCCGTTGACAATCACCTCGTCCCTAGCTGTCACCGGCTCCATGTCCCCCCCGATCGAGTCTTTCCCCGAATAAATACTGTCAATCACCCCTAGAACCTCCCCACGAACACAAATACAAAACAGTCGTAAACTCTCAACAATTGTTCACCTGGCAGTTCGACAACTCCAATTTATTCTCATTCTTTATCTCCTCTACATATGGCAGAGCCGAAATACTAGGTGTTGCAGACGCGTTGGAGAAAACGTGGGTCATTCCCACAATTTCACGGTTATAATTGTCATGGACAATGCCTCACACACACACGCACACACACAGAGTTCTAACAATTAAACTCGAGAAGGTGAAACAGGCCGCCTTCAATCGCGAATTCCTCAAGATCCGCTGAGTGGAATTAAAAAATTCTTCTTCCGTTCCAAAGACCGTTTTTCCGCCTTCAAATCAAAATTTGATTTTTCAAAATCGCATCGTCAGCTCACGAGATATCACAGATCAAAGAAACCACGGTCTCATCGCTCTGAAAACTGGAATGCATTCTTCAAAGGCGCATAACTCCCGGTCCGCTGAGTGAAATCAAAAATTTTTTCTTTTGTTTTCAAGATTTTTCTTCCATGTTCAAAGAGAGACTCGATTTTTCGAAATCGCTTCGTTGGTTCTCAAGATATTGGGGTTTGAGCGGAGTGAATTTTGCTGGAACTAGTCGCGAAAATGGAAATTCACCGTAAACCCTAGTACAATCCACCAACACACGTCGCGCTGACGTCCGCCCCCTTCCCCCGCTGTGTTCTGACTGTTCATGTTCTGTTAAAAAAAATGGCCACCACAAACCGTTCAATTTCTGACGCGCTTGAAGCCTCCATACGCGACCCAAAACACTCGTAAAAATACAGAAAAACCATTGTTACGGCGTTCAATCACAAGTTCGGGGATTAATGGTGATACCCAATAGCCTGGAGCTGAGGGGGCATACGATGACATTTTCACATGTCCCATTGTCTCACGTATTTTTACACTGACTGTGTCGCGAGTGGAAAATAAAGTGGACGAGAGATTGAATCGGTGAGTCGTCGTGACAGCTCCATTTCAATTCCTCATCCTCAACTCCCTCACTCATTCATTCATTTATTTATTTATTCTTTTGGGATTGTTGGGGACCCCTCGGGATTACGTTTCATGGGGCTTCATGGTGGACATGACGATGAGCTGTCATCGCTCCCCTCTATCTCCACGTCCACTGTTTTGCTGATGTTTTTCATTGCGAACGCTAATCGTTTTTTTTTTTATGTGCACTCGACGCTGAGTCGCTGGGTCGAGTGACCAAACCTCAAATTCACGTCGTCTTCATTGTTTTTGGGGGCTTGTTTTATTTGTTCAAGTGAGGATCGGTTGGAGATTGTTGGTAACGCAGACGTCGAGATGCTGAAGAGTGGGGCTTTACCGAAGAAGGAGGGCAAAATGAGGATACGCGCTTTTCCGGTGAGTATTTTTGGTTTCCCGATGATTTTTCATTATTTTTAGGCGATTTTTTAGGGCTTTTGGGGGGACTGGGTTGGGGGGTGATTGTGGGGACTTTGTTGATGATGACTCGGGGTCAATGACATCGGTTTGGTGGACTGGGGAGGGGAATGGACCCTTGAGGATTCGATTTGAAAATATCTAATTTCGTTTGGGATGAGAAAAAATTGGGGAATTTCACCCGGAGATCTTGAGTTTTGCACAATTGAATGTTTTTCATTCGTTTTGGTACGGTTTATTCACTTGAGCATTTTTTAGTTATGGGTAATTTCATTCAGTGCATTTTGCTCGTGTTTTTTTATTCATCAGACACATTTTTTTATTCTATTTTCATATTGTGGGAAGACAAGAATTAGAAATCTTACTTGAATTTTCAATCAAAACATGAATATTTAGTATCAAATGATGAATGTTTAATTGAAAATTAAGAATAGATTTATCTGAATTTTGTCGATTTCTGAACAAATGATTCGATGTGGAGGAATTTTAATTTAATTTTAAAATCGGAAAAATTAGTCTGGAGATCCCGAGTTTCACTAAATTTGATGTTTTCTATTCATTTCGTTATTTTTCATTGACATGAGCATATTTTTATGTAAATAAAACAATTTATTTAAAATAAAAAATAAAAAAAATAACTAAAATAATTTTGATACAAATAAAAAAAATATATGAATATTCAAGTGGATGAAATGTAACAAAATAAATTAAAAAATAATTATATTCGGGACCAAATGAGAATAAATGTTTAATTAATTGTAAATTCAAGCAGACATTTACCTGAATTCTCCTAATTTCAATCAGTTTTCATGGAATAATTGAACTGAAATCAGTTGTATCACTTGTATCTCATTTTATCTACTCAATTTCAATTAATTAACTTTTTATCTCCATTCATGAACTGATAAAGTCCAAATTTCCCCTAAGATGCACATCTTCTGCCCAAATTATTAAATTCTTAAAAATATAATACAATTTTGAAATCCAAAAAATACCATTTGCAATAAGAAAAAAAATTATTTTCTCGTGGGGGTTTGAACACCTTCAATGAACCTTTAACATAGATAATGACTCGTCCCTCTCGTTCATTCTCACCACAGCTGACAGTAATTAAATTAGAATTCAAGTCACTCTCCCCCGTTTTTCATTTTTTTCTCCGGCGAATAACCAACAAAATTTTACAGACGAAATCCCTCAGTTGATCATGTGCAATAAAGTTCAATCAATGTCCCTCGATCAGTAAAAAACATTTACAAGCGTATTGTGCAGATGGATTTGTTCAGGGGACTGCAAACGTCCTCGTATTTTCCTCACTGCATTCAGTCAAACAGTCGAAAGACTCTCGTTATTCCCTGCCTGGTAAACCCTTATACTTAATACCTCAAAATTAATATTCACTTTTCCTAAAACGTTTGAAAATGTCAAGAAATTTTTATCATGAAATTTCTTCAATGCAGATAATTCATGATTTCTAATTCATTAATTTCATGCCAAAAACCTTGGAAATGAATTTAAAAAATGGGAATACCAATTTGTCTCAACGGATTTATTTTTCTTTCCGTTCAACAGACAACAGTCGACGAAAAGTACGTGGAGAACATCTGGGCACTGCTGAAAAATGCCATCCAGGAGATACAGAAGAAGAATAACTCTGGACTGAGCTTTGAGGAGCTCTACCGTAACGCGTACACAATGGTCCTTCACAAATACGGCGAGAGGCTGTACACGGGCCTCAAGGAAGTTGTAACCCAGCATCTTGAGAACAAAGTGCGTGAGGATGTGCTGCACTCACTTCACAATAATTTTCTGCAGACACTCAATCAAGCGTGGAACGATCACACAACGTCCATGACCATGATCAGGGATATCTTGATGTATATGGACCGAGTTTATGTGCAGCAGAATGATGTCGATAATGTTTATAATCTTGGGCTGATCATATTTCGTGATCAGGTTGGAAGACACTTTTTTCTCTTTCGTTTTTCTCTCGTTTTCTCTTTTCTTCATTTTCCTCTCGAAATTTTCGTATAAGAGATCAATCGAATTTCATGAATTGTTTCATGAATATAGACTTAAGGGGAAACGGAACCCCTGAACCCCTCAACAGTGCGATAATCGAGTCGATAAAGTTATTTCATAGACATAAATTAATAATTGAGTAGCGAAGCGGTAAAACGGTTTAAGTTGCCTTAGCTCTCATCTGAGTTTTTGAGGAATATCTACGAATTCAAGGGAGATAATGAAATTTTTGTAATGACCTTTTTTGTAGAGCGAATTGAGTGCTATAGAAAAGGTTGTGTCAAAAATTTTGCCATCTCCCTTACGTTCTGAGATATTTATTGAAAACTGGTAAATAGTCAAAATCGACTTAAACCGTTTTACCGCTTCGCTTCTGAATTGTAGAGTAGAAATTATAAGAAATAGAAAAGAACACTGCAGTAAGAATAAAAAAAGAGAGAATCCATTCGAAAGCAAATTGCTAATTTATTATTGTCCACTTCCTTTGTTCTAACGCGTTTATTTTTTTTATCTTAAATAGGTGGTGAGGTATGGGTGTATCAGAGATCACTTGCGAGAGACTCTTCTGGGGATGGTGGCTCGTGAGCGCAAAGGAGAGGTTGTTGATCGTATGGCAATAAAAAATGCGTGTCAAATGCTGATGCGTTTAGGTATTAATAGTCGTATCGTCTACGAAGAGGACTTCGAGAGACCTTTTCTTCAGCAGAGCGCAGAGTTCTATCGAGTAATTATTTTTAACGACTTTTCCCGTTCATTTCTGAAGTTATTTTGATCTCCTATAATTCACTATTCATAATGTGATTAATTTTTCAATAGATGGAGTCACAAAAGTTCTTGGCAGAGAATAGTGCATCGGTGTGCATAAAGAAGGTCGAGGCTCGCATCTCCGAGGAGTCCGAGAGGGCCAAGCACTACCTCGATGAGTCAACCGAGTCCAGAATAGTCGAAGTTGTTGAGGAGGAGCTCATCAAAGTTCACATGAAGACTATTGTCGAGGTATTCAATTCCGGAGCTAAAAAATTCTGTAAATTTCTCCCATTAAAAATGCCATCGAGAGTCTTTGGATTCTCCACGAGAATTTTTTTCAGGAAATTAGAGAAGAAATTTGCGAATAGATGAAATTAATGGGAATGAATACAAAATTATTTAGAGAGTTTGAAGAATTCGTCAATTTGAAATTAAAAAAAAATAGTTTCATCTAAACGTGTGATTGTTAATGCAGATGGAGAACAGTGGAGTTGTCCACATGCTGAAGAATCAGAAGACAGACGATCTCGGCTGCATGTACAAGCTCTTCTCGAGAGTGTCAGACGGTCTCCGCACTGTCTGTGACTGTGCCTCCCAGTTTCTGCGTGAGCAGGGACGTTCGATGGTCCAGGAGGACCAGGAAGCCACGACAAATGCAGTCCACTTTGTCCAGAATCTCCTCGACCTGAAGGAGCGCTTCGACCACTTCCTCCACTACTCCTTCAACAACGACAAACTCTTCAAGCAGATGATAGTCTCTGATTTCGAGTACTTCCTCAACTTGAATTCCAAGAGTCCAGAGTATCTGTCACTGTTCATCGATGATAAATTGAAGAAGGGAGTTAAGGGTATGACTGAGCAGGAGATCGAGGGCGTTCTCGACAAGACAATGGTTCTCTTCAGGTTTTTGCAGGAGAAGGACGTGTTCGAGAGGTACTACAAACAGCATCTGGCCAAACGATTGCTGCTTAACAAGTCTGTCTCTGACGACAGTGAGAAGAACATGATTTCAAAATTGAAGGTATTGTTCTTCGCATTCTTTACGAATAGCGCTGTTAATTATTAATTTTTCGTGTAATTATTAATTTTTTATCTCTCTGAATTTTGACTCCAGACTGAATGTGGATGTCAATTCACTTCCAAGTTGGAGGGAATGTTCAAGGACATCACTGTCAGCAATTCTATTATGGACGAGTTCAAGGATCATGTGCTGGCATCAGGGGTGAGCATTAACTGCAATAGTATTTCATTTTTTAAAAGTTTTCTCTGTGAAAACCAAAATGTTCAATTTTTTATTCACTGAAATTCTGTAATAATGACGAAATATAATCTCAGATAATTATTTCATCATCATTAGTTATGAAATAAGTATTTCCACTTGATTTTTATTGCAGACGAATCTTCGAGGAGTTGATCTTAGTGTGCGTGTCCTCACCACTGGCTTCTGGCCGACCCAGTCAGCCACCCCAAAGTGCAGTATGCCCCCAGCTGCGCGTGATGCATTCGATACTTTTCGTCGTTTCTATCTAGCCAAGCACAGTGGCAGACAACTGACCCTCCAGCCACAGCTTGGCTCAGCTGATTTAAATGCTGTGTTCCATGGACCTAAGAGAGAAGAGAGTGCTAATGGATTGGAAACTCCCTCCTCAACGAGTTCAATTCTTAATGGCAATGCCAGTTGTCCAAGTGGCAGTGCCATTAGCCCAAGAAACAGTACCAGTAGTTGCTCCAATCCTAGAAAGCACATCATTCAAGTGTCCACGTACCAAATGTGTGTTCTTATGCTGTTTAATAATCGTGACAAGTTGACGTATGAGGTATGTTACCAATTTTTCACATTGTGATGTCACCATTTATTTACTTTTTTATTTATTCATCTAATTATCTTTTTTTTTGCTTGAGAAAAATTTATTCATTCGTCGTTTTTTAAAATGATGTGAAGATTTTGTTTTGAAGATTTTTGTTTTCGTTGTGAAAAAATTTTTAATTTTGTATTCATCATAATAATTCAACAGTAGAATGGAATGGGGAATTTTATTTCGTCAGGATTAATTATTAAAAAATGAATTTTAATGTGAATACATGAATAATGTGGATCGGTCGTCTTAGGAAATACAAAATGAAACAGACATTCCTGAGAGAGATCTCGTGAGAGCCCTGCAGTCCCTTGCGATGGGCAAGGCTGCCCAGAGAGTGCTCCTCAAGTTCCCAAGGTCGAAAGAAATTGAACCGTCACATTGCTTCACTGTCAACGATAGTTTCACCAGTAAATTACACAGGTAATCATCATTGCCTGGGGAATATTGTCTGGTGGAGTATAATGTCATTTTGGTATTTTTACAGAGTCAAGATTCAGACAGTAGCAGCTAAGGGTGAGTCAGAACCTGAGCGAAAGGAGACTCGTAACAAAGTGGATGAGGATCGTAAGCATGAGATCGAGGCTGCAATCGTTAGGATAATGAAAGCTCGTAAACGAATGGCAGTGAGTATTATGGTGGTGTTTAAACATTTCAGAAAAGAAACATTAAACTTTTTTCGTGTTGAATATGAATTTATTTCTGGGGGAAATGTCAAGGGAATTATTGTTGCAACTTTCAATTCAATACTTGAATAATGTTTGACATTTTATTATTTCAGCACAACATTCTCGTGACAGAGGTGACACAACAGCTTCGTGTAAGATTTCTGCCATCCCCAACGATAATTAAGAAACGTATTGAAGGCCTGATTGAACGAGAATACCTAGCTCGAACTTCAGAAGATAGGTGAGAGAATTTTACATTAACAAAATCAGGAGTTGAAGGGCTTCATGTCCAGCGAATAAATTCGCATTCAATTTTTAATTCTTCTCTTTTCAGAAAAGTGTATACATACGTTGCTTAATTAAATTTGTACAAAAGAAGAGCCGAAAAAAAGAGCCAGCCGAGCCAAGGGAAGAAGGAGAAAACATAATCCAGAGAGAAACAACGGAGAGATTTTTTTTCGATCAAAGGAAGAAGATAAATGATTATTGTCAAAAGTGTCTATTTTTTTGTCCCCCTCCCCCTCCCCTCTCCACTATTCATCCAGTTTTGCAGAATTAATCCACGATGTTTCTGGATCCTGAGAATTATCCTGAATTTTACTTTTCCCCCTAATTAACATTGTCAAACTAAGTTGTAAGAATTTAAAAAGTAAGAAAACATTGTCAAGAATAAGAGGTGAGGAAAATGAAGAAAACATTATTATAAAAGATTTAAATTATTCCAGACGTATTGACAAATATACCATTTTTGAATAATTTATCATCCGTTCCCTGCATCCCAGAAAATGAATAAAGATGATTGTGGGGGGGAGCAAGACAACCCATGATAGTAACTGATATTCCACGGAGAGCATATGAGCAAATTGCACTTGCCATATTTTGACAATTCAAGATAATTTAACTAAATATTCCTTTGAGTAGGAAAAATGCTACTGATGTCACAGAAGCTTTCACAGAAAAATGAGGCAATAGATATGTTTTAACAATTCAAGATAATCTAACTAAAGGCTCATGTCCAGTTCCTCTGGTTTAAAAAAAATCTACTAATATCGTAAAGGCTTTTACAGAAAATTTCATTACACTTTCCTGGACATCTGTTGATACTCAAGCTAGTGCCAGCAAGAAAAATAGTGAATCTTGGAGGCAATAGATGTTTTAACAATTCAAGATAATCTAACTAAATGCTCATTAGCAGTTCTCCTGGCTGGAAAAAATCTGCTGGCATCGCAAAAGCTTTTACAGAAAATTTCATTGCATTTTCCTGGACATCTCTTGATACTCAAGCTAGTGCCAGCAAGAAAAATAGTGAATCCTGGAGGCAATAGATATGTTTTAACAATTCAAGATAATCTAACTAAATGCTCATTAGTAGTTCTTCTGGTTCAAAAAAAAATCTGCTGACATCGCAAAAGCTTTTACAGAAAATTTCATTGCACTTTCCTGGACATCTGTTGATACTCAAGCTAGTGCCAGGAAGGAAAATAGTGAATCCTGGAGGCAATAGATATGTTTTAACAATTCAAGATAATCTAACTAAATGCTCATTAGCAGTTCTCCTGGCTGGAAAAAATCTGCTGGCATCGCAAAAGCTTTTACAGAAAATTTCATTGCATTTTCCTGGACATCTCTTGATACTCAAGCTAGTGCCAGCAAGAAAAATAGTGAATCCTGGAGGCAATAGAAGTTTTAAAAATTCAAGATAATCTAACTAAATGCTCATTAGTAGTTCTTCTGGTTCAAAAAAAAATCTGCTGACATCGCAAAAGCTTTTACAGAAAATTTCATTGCACTTTCCTGGACATCTGTTGATACTCAAGCTAGTGCCAGCAAGAAAAATAGTGAATCCTGGAGGCAATAGATGTTTTAACAATTCAAGATAATCTAACTAAATGCTCATTAGTAGTTCTTCTGGTTCAAAAAAAATCTGCTGACATCGCAAAAGCTTTTACAGAAAATTTCATTGCACTTTCCTGGACATCTGTTGATACTCAAGCTAGTGCCAGCAAGAAAAATAGTGAATCCTGGAGGCAATAGATATGTTTTAACAATCCAAGATAATCTAACTAGCTCCTCAGGCTGGAAAAATCTACTGACATCGCAAAAGCTTTTACAGAAAATTTCATTGCCCTTTCAGTGTCAGTAAGGAAAATCCTCAATGTCACAAAGATCGTACGACTCAGGTGACTGAAAAATCGCTCGTTATCTCGTAACTAAGTTACTCATAATCCCATCAACCCTCCGTGCCCGAACTCCGCATTATTCATGATCCCCCGACATTGGAGACCAACAATCCTCTGAGTGGCCAACCACCCGCCAAACGACTGGTTTCCGCCAATGAGACACCCCCATCCGTTGAATACACGCCTGAAAATCGCTTCACATCGGCGCGAGTCGCACAGTAGCTGCGCCCGGCACCGCAGCCAGCAGAAAATATTTCGCACGGAAAATAAGGGCCATTTATTGCGAAGTAGAATAATCTACTTCGTCTTGAAACAACTGGTTAGCAAATTATCACGCATTTCGAGTGATCTTTTAGTGTCTTCAAGTGCATTGTGTCGGCATCCCCATTATCATTCACCTTCGCTCATGCAAAAAATGGCCTTCAGTGCGTGAATCATTAACAATCGGGAGGGGTTCGATCGAGGGGGTCTGGGGTGCACTGAAATGTCAACAATAAAATGTTGAAGGAATTTTTTTGAGGTGACGACTATGGTCAAGGCTTCCCAGCCCGTATTATTCCTGAAATTATCACGTGCCACTGATAGCCCGGGACTGAGGTCTTCCTTTTCTCTAACCTCGCTTGCTATTGCCATTTTATCGCGATAATTCGTCGCGATTTTTTAACTACTTTGTTGAATCAATTCACGCGAATTTGTGTTAATGTATCACGGGGGCAAGATGATGTTATCATCGTGGATTATTGAGAGACGGTTTGACGGTATTTTGGCACAGCACCTCAAGACCATTTTTAACTCTTCGCTATTGCGACATTGGGACATTCTGAGGGTGCTCATTGTTGGGATTTTTTTGAGGAACAGATGTGCTTGGCGAGGGCGAGGGTAGGATTGGCTGAGGGAGGGCGAACGGAACTAAAGATGTGAAATGTATTCGACAATGTAACGGTTGTCATTTCACAATGCAGAGGAATAAATTCGACGTGTTTCGCCTTGAAGAGGACTTGGGAATTTGAGACAGAAATGTCGAAAATTAATGTGAAAAATTGAGAAGAGTCACTCCAACTCTTATCAATTTTTTACATTAATTTTTCGACGACAACGTCAATTAGTTCAACATTTTTTATTCACTCGTTTTAAAAATAATGTTAATTTAGTTTGTTGCATTGGAAAATACAATCATTCGGGAGTCACTCGGTTGCAAAAACTGATCAAGGTCGAGGAAAAATCAGGCATAACCGAAGAAATCTGAAGGATAAAGTTTCAATGAAACTGATTTTTTCGAATTTTTTTGAGCCTTAGCAAACGAGCCATTGCTTCGAGGAAGTGCACATTATCTTGACGTGCGTGGAAATAAAAATTGATAATGCAATGAGATAATGTCAAGAGGCAATTCCGCGGCGGTTGGTCTCGCTAGAGATATGTGAATTTCGGGGAAAACTTGGGGAAAACGAGAGTCCGATATCTATGTGTATTTATAAGTATGTGGAGGTAAATTTCTTACATAAGCCACGTGGTTTTCCTGAGTGTTGCCAAGGTCTACGGGTGAGACGCATTATAATTGAGAAACGACGTAGAATAGGTGTTAACTAAAGTATTGTTGCATTGTCCTTACGAAAAAGTTGATTTCGATGTATCATTACGAAAATTGCGATATCTCAAAAACTAGGAGATCTATCGAAAAATATGTGAGAACATTTTTTGCAGAGAATGGAATTCTACACAAAAAAGTCCTTCTGACATTTTCTCCTAGAGCCACTCGTTTCAGAGATATTCTGAATTTTCCCGAGAAAAAAAATCAAATTTGAAATTCCATTAAATTTAGCTTTGAAATGATGCCAGATTTTTTCGAGTCGTATAATTCTCTCGCAAGATATTGGGGATTTCGAGAATTTAACTTTAAACAGGCCGCTCTTATTGTTATACTGCACTTGGACTTTCAATCTGTTGTGACGTTCATGATCGTCATAATATTTTTTATGAGCAGGATGACGTGATTTTTTTAGAAAACGACAGCAGACTTTTACGTGTAAAAAATTCAATTCATAAATAAAACGGATAAAATTTTCCGTTAAAACCACTCGTTTCCGCAATAAATAAAGAATACTGCACCCAGTCAATAGATCTAATTACTTGATACCATTTAACCCCTTACCATAAACTCGATTGCATAATGATTCACGTGACACTAACATTGCACGTGATTGCACATACAATCTCCACGGATCAATTGAATGATCTGATTTAATGATTCCGTTTGAACTCTAGTATTTGAACGAAAAAGTCATCGACCTGAGCAATAATGGCGACATTGAGATTGCTTGCGGCCGGTGCTAGTGCTGTGGGAGCTGGCGCAGTAACGACATATTTTTTTACATCAGATTCACCGGTATGTTCTACACATTCCGAAATGATGAAGTTTTTTTTTAAATTTATGACTGTCATCTCCACCTATTTAGTTATTTCTAAAACTGAAATGAAATGAATATTTACCACTTTCCTCGACTGTTTGAATGAGATTTCATTCAAAATATCCACGAAAGCTAGATATCCTAGCCACTAGACTATATGGGAAACAATATTTAGTAGACGATATCTCCAATGAGAATCGTTTCATCATCCGCCAAACATCTGAATTGAAAAGGATCAACCACTTAAAATCGTCCTCAGGTATTAGCTGAGAAGAAAGCACACAAGCCAGTAAAAAGACCGCTACCTAGTCGAGAGGAACAGGTGAAGAACCTGAAGACTCAAGACGAATACGACGTACTTATCATTGGGGGTGGGGCGACAGGAGCTGGATGTGCCTTAGACGCTTGCACCAGGGGTCTGAAGACCGCCCTCATCGAGGGAGACGACTTCGCCTCCGGTACATCCTCCAGAAGCACAAAGCTCATTCATGGAGGTGTGCGTTATCTTCAGAAGGCCATCATGCAGGTGGACGTTGAGCAGTACAAGATGGTGAAGGAGGCTCTTCACGAGCGCGCCCAGATGCTTCACAGTGCTCCTCATCTGGCTCATCCTCTACCGATTATGTTGCCGGTTTATACGTACGTTCATCTCATTTTTATTCGTCACTTATTCAAAAGACATGATTTCACTCCAAAAGTGAATATGAAATGAACATTTCCAATGGCATTTCATCATAACTAAATATTCAAACAGTAGTTGGGATTCTTAAAAATCAATGTCATCCCTCTTCTTCCCAGATGGTGGCAAATTCCGTACTACTGGTTTGGTATAAAAATGTACGACCTCGTAGCAGGAACCAAAACCGTCAAATCTTCCTACTACTTGAGTAAAGCGAATGCCCTCGAACTATTCCCCATGTTGAAGGGTGATAAACTAACAGGAGCTATAGTGTACTACGACGGTACGTCAACAAGACAAAACCTGATTGAAAAAAATATTGAAGACAAGATCGTGAAACTTATTCTATTTCTTCACCTGCAGGACAACAAGACGATGCGAGAATGAACCTGGCAGTGGCTCTGACTGCCTCTAGGCTTGGTGCAACAGTCGTCAATCACGTGTCAGTGGTGAATCTCCTGAAGGGGCGCGATAGGGATGGAAAAACCGTGCTAACGGGTGCCCACGTGAGGGACGAAATGACTGGGGAAGAGTGGGATGTCAAGGCGAAGGCCATCATCAACGCCACGGGACCCTTCACTGACACTATTAGGAAGATGGACGATCAGTCGGTTCCGGAGATCTGCTGTCCCTCGTCTGGAGTGCATATCGTACTTCCTGGATATTACAGGTATTGCTTGTAATAATTATATTCCTTTTTGCCTCGGAGGAAGACCTTTTTGATGACTCGGGTCAGCATAAAATCATCAGGAAATACGAAATAATGATGAGAAAAATGTCCTTTCAGTCCTGATCAGATGGGTCTCCTGGATCCCTCAACCAGCGATGGCCGAGTAATCTTCTTCCTCCCCTGGCAGAAGCAGACAATCGCAGGGACCACTGATCTGCCCTGTCAAGTGACCCATAATCCCCGCCCCACAGAGGACGAGATCATGTTTATCCTCCAGGAAGTGAAGAACTACTTGAATCCAGACGTTGAGGTTCGACGTGGTGACGTGTTGTCAGCATGGAGTGGCATCAGACCGCTCGTGTCTGACCCCAACAAACCGAATACTCAGTCGTTAGCCCGAAATCATATCGTTCATGTTAGTCCAACGAATTTAGTCACTATTGCTGGAGGAAAGTGGACGACTTACAGGGCCATGGCAGAGGAAGCTGTTGATGCTGCTGTTGCAGGTATGTTATTTTGATATGGTAATGCCCACGAGGGGATTTGAACTCACAACCTTCAGATTACCAATCCGTTACTATAGCCAATTGAGCGATTTATGGTACTCCATGTTGAAATTCTATCAAATGAGTCATTGAGAGAAAAATGAGGAAATTAAGACTCCACGAAGGGATTTGAACTCACAACCTTCAGATTGCCAATCCGTTACTCTAGCCAATTGAGCGATTCATGGCACTCCATGTTCAAATTCTATCAAATAAGTCATTGAGAGAAAAATGAGGAAATTAAGACTCCACGAAGGGATTTGAACTCACAACCTTCAGATTGCCAATCCGTTACTCTAGCCAATTGAGCGATTCATGGCACTCCATGTTGAAATTCTATCAAATAGGGGAGCATGGGGCAAAATGAAACACGGGGCAAAATGAAACAGTGGGAAAATCTCGTCATCTAAAGGAGATAGGACATTTTTGAAGAGGACCTTTTTTGTAGCTTGTAAAATTCTCTACAAAAAAGGTTTCCATGAAAATCGTCCTATCTCCCTTAGATCACAAGATTTTCTTGCGGTTTCATTTTGCCCCGTGTTTCATTTTGCCCCACCGTCCCCTAAGTCATTGAGAGAAAAATTATGAAATTAACACTCCACGAAGGCATTTGAACTCACAACCTTCAGATTGCCAATCCGTTACTCTAGCCAATTGAGTGATTCATGGCACTCCATGTTCAAATTCTATCAAATAAGTCATTGAGAGAAAAATGATGAAATTAAGACTCCACGAAGGGATTTGAGCTCACAACCTTCAGATTGCCAATCCGTTACTCTAGCCAATGGAGCCATTGACTCGATGATGAAGTTTTATTTGACTTCAATATGTCATTGAGAGCTTAAATAATCAAATTAAGACTTTACGAGGAGATTTGAACCCACAACCTTCAGATTACCAATCCGTTGCTCTAGCCAATGGAACCTTTTATGGTACCCCACGATTAAATTTTGCTAGATATCAATGTCATTGAGAGAAAAATAATCAAATTAAGACTCCACGAGAGGATTTGAACCCACAACCTTCAGATTACCAATCCGTTGCTCTAACCAATGCGGCTATCAGGAATTCCCTGAATGCATAGATAAAAATGAAGTTCTATTTGAAATGATTAATGACAGTTGATTATTATTTCTAATTCAATATAGGGGAGGATGGGGCAAAACGGTCCCCCTTCAATCGTCAATATTTTCCGATTCAATAATCCGATTGGGATGAGTTAGAGTTCGTTTTGAAGAATGAAAAATTATCTTCAAAATGAAGTTGAAACTGGGAATTTTCACAATGTCATTCACAAGTTCTTGACAATTGAAGGGGGGCCGTTTTGCCCCACCCTCCCCTAGAATTGAGTCAAATTCTAAAAAAAAATTATTTTTATTTTTTTTACATCGCTTCGACTCGATTGAATATATTCCGATGATGATCGAGACTTTAAAATGCTCAGATCTCACCATTCTACCCGAAAAATAAAGAATAGAAATCTTGAGACACAATTATCTAAGAAAATATTCATCAACAATTTTAAATGGTACTTCACGCAAATGTTAGACCCCCCAACCCCATGAAAAACCAAACCCCCTCAATTATTTATCCATTCAGCCTGCAACTTGGAGCCGCTGGACCTCTCCCAGACCGATGGAATGCTCCTGGAAGGAGCCCACGGCTGGAGTCCCACAATGTACATCAGACTGGTCCAAGACTTTGGCCTCGAGTGCGAAGTAGCCCAGCACCTGGCGAAAAGCTACGGCGACCGTGCCTTCGCAGTAGCAAAAATGGCATCACTCACCGGCAAGAGGTGGCCCATCATCGGTAAAAAGATTCACCCAGAGTTTCCGTACATCGACGCAGAGATCCGTTACGGCTGTCGCGAGTACGCGAGAACCGCCATCGACATGATCGCGCGACGACTCAGGCTGGCGTTCCTGAACGTCCAGGCGGCCAACGAGGCCCTCCCCGGAATCATCGACATCATGGCTGAGGAGCTCAACTGGTCTGCTGAGGAGAAGAAGAAGCAGCACAAAGAGGCCAGTGATTTCCTGGCTAACGAGATGGGACAAATGGTGAATCGTGCCTCGCGCGACAAGATTCCCATCAATCTTACCAAGGATGAGATCCAGTTGTACATCAAACGGTTCCAGATTATCGATAAGGATCGCAAGGGATATGTCTCCATCAACGATATTCGTCGCGGGTTGAAGGTAAGTTGGTCAATTTTAGAAGTACACTGAGAGAAAAACAAACACGACAAACAAGTCTTGTTTGGCCCAACAAAATCGCTAGTTGAAAATTGCAAAAAAATAATTTGTTTGGTTCTAATTTGACCAGACGGTGCCTTTTCAGGATGAAAATATCTCATACAGAGGAAAATTTATCAACAAATATTTTATCCCTAACTTACAAGATTGCTGTCATATTATTGTTTCATTTAAGGGTTCATTTCTTGTCTGCGATTATTAGACAGTCGAAACGAAAAACTACTATTCCTTCCTACATGGAAATAATATATAATTCCGGAAAAATCACTATATCTCACTTATAAGTTTTGGCTTATATTTTTTTCTGTGCGGGTTGTTTCGCATAAAACAAAGATTTTTCGGGAGCAAAATACCTATGGGAGTATCGAATAACGAAGGAGTAGTGCTAGAAATGACATTTCTTGCCTGCACAGAGAATGCAATTTTTTTTGAACTACTAAATCTATTTTTGCGACGAAAATTTTTCATTCCGGCGCACTCTCTGCATGTTTAGCACAAAAAAATCCTTTATTGATAATTTTCAAAAAACTATTTTCTTGGCACAAGTAAGACTTGTTTGAAAACTTTGTCATTTTTCTCTCAGTGTAGATAGATTATTATCTATTTGTCAAGTGGTAAACCGTGAACATTAGCACAATCTTCAATTCCGGAAAAATCACTATATCTCACTTATAAGTTTTGGCTTATATTTTTTTCTGTGCGGGTTGTTTCGCATAAAACAAAGATTTTTCGGGAGCAAAATACCTATGGGAGTATCGAATAACGAAGGAGTAGTGCTAGAAATGACATTTCTTGCCTGCACAGAGAATGCAATTTTTTTTGAACTACTAAATCTATTTTTGCGACGAAAATTTTTCATTCCGGCGCACTCTCTGCATGTTTAGCACAAAAAAATGCTTTATTGATAATTTTCAAAAAACTATTTTCTTGGCACAAGTAAGACTTGTTTGAAAACTTTGTCATTTTTCTCTCAGTGTAGATAGATTATTATCTATTTGTCAAGTGGTAAACCGTGAACATTAGCACAATCTTCAATTCCGGAAAAATCACTATATCTCACTTATAAGTTTTGGCTTATATTTTTTTCTGTGCGGGTTGTTTCGCATAAAACAAAGATTTTTCGGGAGCAAAATACCTATGGGAGTATCGAATAACGAAGGAGTAGTGCTAGAAATGACATTTCTTGCCTGCACAGAGAATGCAATTTTTTTTGAGCTACTAAATCTATTTTTACGACGAAAATTTTTCATTCCGGCGCACTCTCTGCATGTCTAGTACAAAAAAAATCCTTTATTGATAATTTTCAAAAAACTATTTTCTTGGCACAAGTATGACTTGTTTGAAAACTTTGTCGTTTTTCTCTAAGTGTAGATAGATTATTATCTATTTGTCAAGTGGTAAACCGTGAAGATTAGCACAATCATGATGATGTCTGATGTTTTATCACTTTGCCATCTCTATAAATTCACATTATCATCATCATTGTCGTCATCATCATCGATGAATTGAGAATGAATAACAGACCAATAAATTCAGTCATTAGGAATAAAATTCAATGAAGACGAGATGCACGCGCTGCTAAATGAGATAGACCTGAGTTATAACGGACAGATGGAGCTTCAGGATTATCTCCAGGTAAATGAAATGACCACATCAATTAATTCATTCTTTATTTGCCAATCTGTAGCTATTCGGCGACAAGGATGTGCCGGGTGAAGAGCTTCACGAGATTCTCAAAGAAATTGATACTAATATGAATGGTCAAGTCGAACTGGACGAGTACCTTCAGGTCTGTCGGTCGTTTCATTATTAGCGGAATGTCTGTATTTCCCTTACCCTTTGATTTATTTCATTCATTGCACTAGTGATTTTTCGTTAATTCCGCTAATTCGAAACTAAACACACACGACATTCAACACTCAGTGGGCTTGATTAGTTATTATTTGAGAGGAATGGAGGGAAACAGGATCAGTCCCGACTCATCCTGTTTTCCTGCTATCCGATTATTATTTGGTTCTACTGCCCCTTCATCACACATGTACTCAGTCCCTGTGACGAAACCTGGCATGATTAATTTAATCAGTAAATTGCACGTCATACCTAGACCTATTCTAATAATTCAGTTCAATTTCGCTCGAGGGTGATAATTCTTGGCTTGAGTTAACGTTACTTACAATTCAACTGGACTCTAGCCAATTCTGAGACCCCTGTGATGTTTACATTCTTCAATTTTTTGTAGAATTAACTGTCCAGTCCTTCAATCGAAAAAAGATGAAACTGCAGTCCTCTTGGAATATTTTGTCTTTTTTCTGATTTGAAAAAAATTGAGATTGACTGGTCAATTAATTGTCTACTCTTCCTCCAGATGATGTCCGCAATAAAGTCTGGCCACGTCGCCTACTCGAGATTCGCCCGGATGGCTGAGATGGAGGAGGCACAGCACGAGAAGGACATCCTCAAGAAAATGATCAGCGTCGACAGATCTGGTGGTGGCCTCTAAACTCATCCCGAAACACTGCTTCAATTTTCCTTGGTCTTAGATAAGGATGACAAACTCACGACAAAAATCTGATATTTAAATATCCAAATATTTATAGTAGGCATTAATTTCGTTAAGTTTTCCAGAGCAAAAAAAATGTGCAATGAAACACACAGCACTTGACGCGGGGCTGGCCTTCCCTGTGGCATGAAATCTAAACACGCCAATTCTAGTTGAATTTACTTAAATGTTGATCGCTGAGTCCGAAGTACTCGTGGTCTGATTCGGTATTTAAGGGTTTTCTTGTTCTGGAGAACTGAGAACTTCGGATTTGATGATTGAATCAGTAACGGAGGGGTAAAGGGTGACGAGCTGTGGGATTTGTTACCTTTTACCGTTTGATTACTGAAACCATATTAGGCAATTTATTTATTATGTATATAACTCTTGATTGCAAATGCAGTGGTATAACATTTCGATTCTAATCAACGTCTGCCTTGGTTAATTTATCAATTTCATCGGTATGAATGAGAAGTAATTGAAAAATCAATAAAAGAGATTCAAATATTACAAATTGCTGTTGATTATTTTTATCCTTATCCTAAGGAGAGGAAAATTTACAAGTGAAATTGTGAATTTCCACGAGGGATTTGAACCCACAACCTTCAGATTACCAATACATTACCAATGATGAGGTTTTATTTGAAAAAAAAATATTTTATTGAGAGAACCAGTAATGAAATTAAAACATCATCAGGGGATTTGAACCCACAACCTTAAGATTACCAATCCATCATGCACAATGATGTTTTATTTGAAAAAAAATATTTTATTGAGAGAACCAGTAATGAAATGAAGACATCATCAGGGGATTTGAACCCACAACCTTTAGATTACCAATCCATCATGCACAATGATGTTTTATTTGAAAAAATATATTTTATTGAGAGAACCAGTAATGAAATAGAGACAACCTCAGGGGATTTGAACCCACAACCTTTAGATTACCAATCCATCATGCACAATGATGTTTTATTTGAAAAAATATATTTTATTGAGAGAACCAGTAATGAAATAGAGACAACCTCAGGGGATTTGAACCCACAACCTTTAGATTACCAATCCATCATGCACAATGATGTTTTATTTGAAAAAATATATTTTATTGAGAGAACCAGTAATGAAATAGAGACAACCTCAGGGGATTTGAACCCACAACCTTTAGATTACCAATCCATCATGCACAATGATGTTTTATTTGAAAAAATATATTTTATTGAGAGAACCAGTAATGAAATAGAGACAACCTCAGGGGATTTGAACCCACAACCTTTAGATTACCAATCCATCATGCACAATGATGTTTTATTTGAAAAAATATATTTTATTGAGAGAACCAGTAATGAAATGAAGACATCATCAGGGGATTTGAACCCACAACCTTCAGATTACCAATCCATCATGCACAATGACATTTCATTTGAAAAAAAATACATCATTGAGAAACTCAATAATGAAGTCAAGACATCACAAGGTGATTTGAACCCACAACCTTCAGATTACCAATACATTACCAATACATTACCAATGATGACGTTTTATTTGAAAAAACATACATCATTGAAAAAACCAATAATGAAGTCAAGACATCACAAGGTGATTTGAACCCACAACCTTCAGATTACCAATACATTACCAATGATGACGTTTTATTTGAAAAAAAAAAAAAAATTTATTGAGAGAACCAGTAATGAAATGAAGACATCATCAGGGGATTTGAACCCACAACCTTCAGATTACCAATCCATCATGCACAATGACATTTCATTTGAAAAAAAATACATCATTGAGAAACTCAATAATGAAGTCAAGACATCACAAGGTGATTTGAACCCACAACCTTCAGATTACCAACCCATCATCCCCAATGACGTTTCATTTGAAAAAAAATACATCATTAAGAAACTCAATAATGAAGTCAAGACATGCCAAGGGGATTTGAACCCCCAACCTTCAGATTACCAACCCATTACTCTAACCATGGAGCTACCAGGGGTTTCCTCGTGGGAGCGTTGCCATCAACCGAATAGAAGACCCCCAAACCTCCCCCTGAAGTCAACCCAACCCGCCCCACATCTTCCTCCCTAGCTGCATCTCATTCCATTGTCTCTAGTCGCTCCACATAGTGATAAAAAACGAAGAGGGCGGGTGTCAGGCTCCTCCCTTCACATATTTCCCCTAATTACAGCCGTATGACCTCACCCAAAAATCTCTCCCCATGTCCCCCCGAACCCTCTCTCAAGCCCACTCCCCAAAAACCCTCCAACTCAGAAAAGCGGGCACGACGGAATAGTTAAACCGTCCCAACTATGCCCTCGCCCACGCGATAGTGTTCAGGGTGGGCGTCTTGCCCGTCCGACAATCAGGGCGTCCAGTTATCTCCAGTACCCAGACCCAGAGGCGTACGCCCCTGTCACCACCGCTTCGTCCGCAAAACGGGCCGGCACTCGTCCACCAATCCCGCTCACCATCTCCCCCCCCACCGACCTATAGATAGCTCAGGCTCCCTGTGTCGCCCTCACCAACGCTCACCAACACACACCCCCCACCTCACCAACACAACACAAACAAGGAAAAGGTATTTCGGAGGCGACGCAGTTACCCACTCCGTCTGGCATTCTCGAGTGCAGTCCCAGAAAGCGTGCGCAAATGCTTGACTCTTGTGAAATACACGAGGCTACACAATCAAGATTTTATATCTCCACCTCCCAATCATTCTCTCTCATTTTGGAGGGAATCGCAAAGCCCTGAGAGCCGATATTTCCCGCTAAATCGGCCCAAAATTACTCTATCGATCAGTGACCCATTGTGTTCCGAGTCTGTGCCGCCGCCAATTACTAAGTGTCGACTAAAAAACCAAAAACCGTCGAGCTAAAAACAGCTCGAGTTTTTTCCGCAAGATAACAATTTTCTTCGATTTTCGTAACAAAAAAAAACCTTCGGAGGAAGATTTTCGGGGAAAAAGTCGCCATTTCATGAAGATTTCGGCCCCTCCGCTATGGCTTCCACCAAGCTAAAGGTACGTACCGCCAATTGAAAAATCCCAAACAAAAAATATTTATCCGCCGAGTAATTTCGGCTGAGCCCAGCACGTGTCTCGCGCGTTAGGTGGAGTCCAAAGTGAAAAGTGGGTGGAGGCTGAGGCCGCGGAAAGCCTTCCGCGGGTGCTCTCAATGTTACAGACGCCTGACTATTGTATGTATTAGTGAAATAATGCGAAGGTAGTAACATCAGGGGGGGGTAACAGGCGCAGGGTTGTTGATAGTGGGTCTGCGGACGGGTGTCGAGTGGGCGGGTGTGGCGCGCGTCGTTGTTTCGCGTCTATTCCCCCCCCCCGTTTACGTACGACAACTGCATGTGTGGGGCTGAGGCTCGTGGAAAGGTGCAGAGGTGTGAGTGATGGAGCGACACGAATGGCACACATAGGCAAGCGGGTGGGGCTCGTTGCAGGGGCGTAGAGAGGCGTTCCTCATTTTGGGTCCTCAAGGAGGGCCTTCTTTGTCGCCACCACTGGCGCGACAACAACTATTCCAACAGCTAAACTCCCCTCGCACGTGCGAGTCGCTCGCATAAACCCCCGGTTATCAGGGCCATCGGTATTTGGGCATTGTTTTATCGTGAATTAAGGAGTTCTGGAGTTATTTCGAAGTGATCAGTGGGCATTCATGGAGGAGAGTGGGTGTGCGGGCTTGTGGACGGCGACGACGCGATTCCCTCGGGAATAGAGCAAAGTTTTTTCTCCTCACTTCATCATTTTGACCTTCACTTCATCATTTTGTCGACACACATTACTCAGTCATGGTGAGGGGCTGTTGATTATTTTTTTTTTTGGGGGCTTGATTAGCGTGATGGAGTGGTCCGTCACATGCACGGAGTATAGATGGGGCACGGAATGTAGATGAGAATGTGAAAGTATCTGTTGTTTTACTTGTTGTTCAGCAAGAGGTTATTGAGGAGGGCCACGATGACTTACAAGGCCAGTCGCAGCCGCAGGAGGGCCAGGAGCAGATGGAACAGCAGGTCTCCCAGCCACAGATACGCTTTGTCACGGCCAATGTACTTCAGCAGTTGCAGGCGCAGCAGCAACAGGCTGCACAGAGCCAGCATGAGCAGAGCCTCCAGCAGCATCATGGACAGCCGCAGGTCATCACTCTGCAGCAGCTGCAGAATTTTGTGCCTATGGCGCAGCAGCAGCATGATCAGCAGAGGACACAGACCATCACTGTTCAGGGGATTCCACAGCAGTTTCTGCAGGTAATNTATTAGGGGAGGTTGGGGTAAAACGGACACTTTTGCCTTTTTTTTTAATACTAATGAGGGGTTGAAATGGTGATATTATTTAATTTTTTTTTCTCAATACAAAGAACAATTCTTTCCCTTCGTGACGAGCCTAAAATTAACTCAACTGATCAATTTGTTTCTAAGTTATGAATAATTTTAGAAGGCTAAAGTGTCCGTTTTACCTCACCCACCCTTATGTCTGTTAATTTGAATATCCAAGTAGTTTAATGTCAATTAATGTGATATCCAAGTAGTTTGGCTTTTTTTATTGGAGTTGGACGTCAGTGACTTTTTTAAATTATTTTATTAGTTAAACTTTGGAGGTATGAATTTTAGTCGCGATATTAAAGCGTTAGAAAACATTTTGAATGTCTGAAGAAAATTAGAGAGTTTACTTTTGGGGGAAGATTGATGAAATTATTGAAAATTGATATTTTTGAAAATTTCGAGCATTTTAAATCATTTATAAATAATCAATTCTCAGCCATGAAAATAATTTGGTCAGAATCGTAACTAATTTATTCATATTCAGAGTTTTACCAGAAATGGATTTCATGCCCAAAAATAAGATTTGCGAAAATTTAAATAATTTTAACTATTTTTTTTGTAAACAACGACGGTTGAAAAAAATGAGTCTGTGCAAAATGTTAATTTCAATGACGATGAGTATTCATGATTTTTTTTCAAATTTTTATTATTCAAACTTTGCAGGCATGAATTTTAATCTCGATATTGAACCGTTAGAAAACATTTTGAAAGTCTGAAAAAAAATTACAAAGATTACTTTTGGCGGAAGATTGATAAAACATAAAAAAATGCAATTTTTGAAAATTACGAGCATTTAAAATCATTTATAATGAATCATAATCATTACTAACATTATTATTATTAATAATTAATAATAATATAATATTATTATTATTTATAATAATGTATAAATGACTCATAATTTATAAAGAATCAATTTTTCACCACAAAAATCATTTGTTCAGAATCGTAACAAATTCATTCCTTTTCAGAATTTTACCAAAAATGGATTTCATGCCTGAAAAAATAAGTTTTCCGAAAGTTTGAACAATGTAAATTATTCATTTATAAACCACAAATATTTAAAAAAAGATAATTCTGTACAAAACGCAATTTAATCGACATTTGATGACAAAAAATGGTTCAATCTGCAGTGCGGTCTGCGCCAAACGTTAAAAGATACTTGCATATCCTTAAATACCACCACAGTCTTCAGCAATCAATAAATATTTTCATTTTCCATGAGAACACATCCCACAACAAATCTCAAAAATATGACCAATAATTTGTTATTTTATTTGTTATGTTATTCATCAAAGACCCAACAGCCGAGGCCAATTATAGGGTCAAAGCATTATACAGCATTATTTACAAACAACTATATACATATATACAACCTGAGTATGAGATAACATGGCAGATTGTATAATCAACAAAGCAGTCCAGCTGCAGACGTCCAAAATTCATACCAGAAAAAAAATAAAAAAGATTATTAGGTCATTCTACGGGATTTGACGAACCTGTGAGCCCTATCTACAATTGTGGAGAAGGGTGACAAAGCAATCTATAAAAGAATAATGATAAAAACAAGAAATATAAAAACAAGAATAATGCAGTAAATTGCCTGAATAAATGTGAAACTATAAATAATAAAATTCAATTCCCAATTAGCATAATCAAAGCGTCACAATCGTTCCTTTCGGCAAAACTAAAAAGTTGCAACATCGAATGCTCCCTCGATTAGAGTTCCCAGCTGGCGGCTAGTCAGGGTCAAGCGCAGCAGCAGCAGCAACAGGTGACCCAGCAAGCCCAGGGTCAGCAGCAGCCTCAGCAAGCAGCATCGCAGGCCCAACAGTTGAGCTACAGTGTCATCCCCCAGATGCAGACAGTGAACATCGATGGCCAAGAGGCCCTCTTCATTCCCTCCTCAGCAATGTCAGGCGTCGGTGCCCACCACCAGTCCCAGCCCATGCAGTTCACCACAGCTGGTGGTCAGCAAGTGCAACTGGCCTCCCAACAGGTTCAACTGGCCAACGGCCAGACCCTCATCACACCTCAGCCCGTCTCCCTGATCCGGGCCCCAAGTGTCTTCCCCACCTCCATCATCCAGAATATCGGTGGGCAAACTGTTCAGTTACCAACAGGTTTGTTTTCTCTGTTTTATCATCCGCTTGTTGCGCTCGTTTCCACCCCCTTTTCTCTCGATTATTTCTTCCCCGGGGATCATTACTGTCTAACGCGCCTAATGCCTGCATTAACCACTGGCCTTCAACGCCTGCAATCCTCATGGAGCAGACTCCAAGGCAACTTTTGATGTTCCAGGTCAAAGTGTTCAAGTCAGACCTCTGCAATTTCCAATGCAGCATGTCCAGCAAACTGTTCCTGTTCAGGTGCCTGTCACTGCCAATAATGGACAGACCATTTATCAGACTGTTCATTTTCCTATTCAAGCGCTGTCCAACGTTTTCAATATGGGGGCTGCACAGATGATACCGCAGATAGCTCAGGTGAATTCGGATGTCTAAGAAGTTTTCATTTTTTTAATTTAACAAAGGTTTTGGGCTTTTGTTAAAAAAATTTGTTTAATTTTTTTTGCAGCAAATACCGCAAATGGCGCAGATCATCACACCAAATGGCCAGATTCAGCAGGTTCAAATAGCCAATTTGCCACAGCTGCAAGGACTACAGGTAAAAAAATTTTGTTTAATTGATGTTGGGAAGGGCGGGGTAAAATGAATTCGTTAAGATATTTTACCGACCGATACATTCAATCTGTATATTGTAGACAAAGTACGAAGGTTCGGGCCGGAGGATGAAACTTATGCTACTCAATGCGCTCAAACGTATGGTGACTGAGAAAAAATGTTAAAGTCGGAAAAATGAGAGTAATTGATCAAGTTCAAAAAATCAAAAGTCAATGAATTTTCCTTCTATTGAGATTTTGGGAAAAAACAGGAGGTTCGAGATTCTCAGAAGTATGGAGTGGAGAAGAGTATATTTAAATGGATTTTCCCGTAATAGGCTGAAAAAATAAAATGAGAAGTGAAAAATGGGCCATTTTTGGTGAATTAATTTAGATTTATGATTGATTTATCTCGAAATTACGAAGAATAGCTCAATTTCCACAACTTTAATATTTTCTCTTTTTCCCAACGATTTATTATCTCATCCAAAGTGCAATCGTACTTCGTATGAAATAATGGCCAGACTGAATCAGAATTTCGTCAAAATGTGTTACACTTCACCTTTAAAACAATACAAAATTTAATTAATTTTGATTAATGATTGACTCATCTCAAAATTACCAAGAAGAGCTCAATTTCCACAACTTTAATATTTTCTCTTCTCCCCAACGATTTATTATCTCATCCAAAGTGCAATCGTACTTCGTATGAAATAATGGCCAGACTTAATCAGAATTTCGTCAAAATGTGTTACACTTCACCTTTAAAAAAAAAACAAAATTTAATTAATTTTGATTTATGATTGACTTATCTCGAAATTACGAAGAATAGCTCAATTTCCACAACTTCAATATTTTCTCTTCTCCCCAACGATTTATCATCTCATCCAAAGTGCAATCGTACTTCGTATGAAATAATGGCCAGACTGAATCAGAATTTCGTCAAAATGTGTTACACTTCACCTTTAAAACAATACAAAATTTAATTAATTTTGATTAATGATTGACTCATCTCAAAATTACCAAGAAGAGCTCAATTTCCACAACTTTAATATTTTCTCTTCTCCCCAACGATTTATCATCTCATCCAAAGTGCAATCGTACTTCGTATGAAATAATGGCCAGACTGAATCAGAATTTCGTCAAAATGTGTTACACTTCACCTTTAAAACAATACAAAATTTAATTAATTTTGATTAATGATTGACTCATCTCAAAATTACCAAGAAGAGCTCAATTTCCACAACTTTAATATTTTCTCTTCTCCCCAACGATTTATCATCTCATCCAAAGTGCAATCGTACTTCGTATGAAATAATGGCCAGACTGAATCAGAATTTCGTCAAAATGTGTTACACTTCACCTTTAAAACAATACAAAATTTAATTAATTTTGATTAATGATTGACTCATCTCAAAATTACCAAGAAGAGCTCAATTTCCACAACTTTAATATTTTCTCTTCTCCCCAACGATTTATCATCTCATCCAAAGTGCAATCGTACTTCGTATGAAATAATGGCCAGACTGAATCAGAATTTCGTCAAAATGTGTTACACTTCACTTTTAAAACAATACAAAATTTAATTAATTTTGATTTATGATTGACTCATCTCAAAATTACCAAGAAGAGCTCAATTTCCACAACTTTAATATTTTCTCTTCTCCCCAACGATTCGTCACCTCACCCAATAACAACAACTAACGTTCAGACTGAATCAGAATTCCGTCAAACTATTGCTATTAAATAAGATTTCCCCTTTACAAAAAACCAAAATTCCATGAAGATCCATTCCCCCCCGCCGCAAACTAATCCCTCATGGAAGAGTCAACAGGTAGCCCAGCAGCAGCAAGCCCACGCCCAGGCCCAGGCTCAGGCGCAGGCCCACGCGCAAGCAGCAGCACAAGCCCAAGCCCAGGCCCAAGCAGCGGCCCAGGCCCAGGCAGCAGCCCAAGCGCAGGCGGCAGCCCACCAGGCCCAGCAAGTGGCAGTGGCCTCGACGCCCACCTCGAGCACAACCTGGACGACGTCAGCCTCAATGTCAGCCCCCAGCAACGTCCAAGTGGTGGGTCTGGGCTCCCTGGGGCGTCCCCTCACCTCGATAACGACGAAGGAGGGCCAGAAAATCGACGTCACCAACATCCCACCCCCCGAGCCCGACCGCGAGATCAAGCTCACGAGTATCGACGCCAATCAGCTGGCAGCAGGTCAGGTGATCCACATCCCAGCGGCGCAGGCGACCCAGCAGTCGATCCAGCCAATAACGATAGCAGGTGCCCAGGGCCAGCAGCTGACCCTGATATCGGCCTCAGCCCTGACGAATATCACGGCTCAACAGGCTGGGGGAATGATGAGGGGACTGAACGTTGGAAACGGTGGGATAATGCAGCTGCAGCCTGGAACGCCCAACGGTTTTCTCCAGTCAATTCCCGTGCAGAATATCCCAGGACTGGGCAATGTCCAGGTTATTCCAGCCAGTGCCCTCCAGCCGGCCGTCCAGACACTGCCAGCAGCCACTGGCAATCAGATAGTGGGGCCAACGGTGCACCTGGACTCGGGTGATCCGGGAAAATGGCAGATACTGCAGACTATTCAGGCGAACGGTGGGATAAATGCACAGCCTGCCCAGCAGACCCAGCAGGCGCAGCCTCAGCAGCCGCCACAGCAGCAGGCGAACACTGGGACGACGAGTGCCACCAGTGAGGATGGAACGAAACAGCACAGGCGGAGGGTCGCCTGCAACTGCCCCAATTGCAGCGACGGCGAGAGGAACAGGGATATAACGCACAAGAGGCAGCATGTCTGTCATATCGCTGGGTGCAACAAGGTCTATGGGAAGACCAGTCATCTGAGGGCCCACCTCAGGTGGCACACGGGGGAGAGGCCCTTCGTCTGCAGCTGGATTTTCTGTGGGAAGAAGTTCACGAGGTCTGATGAACTCCAGAGACACAGGAGAACGCACACCGGGGAGAAGAGGTTCCAGTGCCCTGAGTGCACGAAGAAGTTCATGAGGTCCGATCATCTCACGAAGCATATTAAGACGCATACGAAGATTCGGAGTACTGAGGCAGCGACGTCCACGCAAGAAGGCTCATCAGACAGTCAATCGTCGACGGATGACAAAATAATCATTGCCCTACACAAAGAGACTGAACAAACGGAGATCATCATACCTGGTGGAATTGAGGGAATGGAGAGTGACACACCGACGCACGTGACCAACGAGTGAACTGCACCCCTAGAAGAAAATCGTATTGTTTCCTTCCAATCGTTCAGTCCAACAGTCCGATCGAACGAATTTTCAAACTCCGAATACAACTGGAACTGATTCGTTCCGGTGTCGGTCTGTTCGGTACTGCTGATCAAAGCACCATTTACAGGGATTCCTCATTATATATTTTTCTATCGTGTATAGTAAAAGAAAGAAAACCCCATGCTGTAAATAATGTACATGAAATGTAAAAAAACAATTTGCATATGAAGAAATAACGAGATTAAAAGAAATTTAAAAATAATTCAGAGTTTTATTCGATGAGTCCAGGGGTTCAATGGAAGAGACGGATAGGAAAATAATTCTTTTATATTTTACAATATAATACAGTTTCAATAATACGATATACCAGCATCGCATTGTCTTCATTCGTTACAATCGAAATAGTCAGTCTTTATCCTTCTTTTTTATCGATCAAGACGAAAAAGAAGAATACTGATACATATTAAATCTCGTGATTTTTTCTCTATCTGCTCGTATTGAGTAGTTGGTGAGGCCATTGGTAAGCAACACTGATTTCATCTAGGGGGTCTATCAATGTTGGGGGAATTCATTGGGTTCGTTAATATCATTAATTGTTTAAACACTTGTACCATAATTCGGGGAAGGGATATTCTGGCATTTATTCGGGTGAAAAGTGATCAAACTCAATTCATCAGTTTAATTCATTATAATTAACTGTTTAAAATCGTTGACACATGTCGCGAAAATAGTGTCTGCACTTAGAGAAAAACGATAATGTTCTCAAACAAGTCTTACTTGTGCCGAGAAAATAGTTTTTGCCGAGAAAATTTTTTGTTGCGAAAATAGATTTAGTAGTTAAAAAAATTGCATTCTCTGTACAGGCAAGAAATGTCATTTCTAGCACTACTCCTTCGTTATTCGATACTCCCTTAGGTATTTTGCTCCCGAAAAATCTTTTTTTTATGCGAAACGAGGGATCGAAGTTTTTCGTTTCGACTGTCTAATAATCACAGACAAGAAATGAACCCTTAAATGAAACAATAATAATTATATGATAGCAATCTTGTAACTTAGGGATAAAATATTTGTTGATAAATTTTCCTCTGTATGAGATATTTTCATCCTGAAAGGGCACCGTCTGGTGGGAATTATCCGCCTCTAGAGCCAAATATTTCGTTGCTGTCGAAAGCAGAACAATTATTCATGTTTGAGACTTTCAAATTCCAACGAAACAAATTCTTTTTTGGCAATTTTCAACTAGCGATTTTGTTGGCCCAAACAAGACTTGTTTGACAACGCATTTTTCCTCAATTGACCAAATGTTCGTATTTCAACATTTCGATTCATAAAAATACTCTGTCAAATACTGTTTCATTTTCACTCTAAACGAAATGTGAATTTTTTTTTTCATTTCTGCTTTGCAGACGTGAATAAATAAATAATGCTTAATCAGAAAACATGATCAACCTGAAATAGCCGTTTGAATACTGCACTTTTCACCGAATGAAGCCCGAGGAATCCAGAGAAATTGGAAGTAAAAATAAAAAACCATCGTAAGTATAACTTTCCTCTCGATAAAAATAGAGGGTAAAAATAAAATTCCAGTTTTCGAGAGGGAATAGACGAATGGAAGTATCACATTTCGCTGGGCTCTGTAAATATTTCACACCAAACTGGACAATGATCAGAAGCTGGACCACCCCATCTCCATCCCTGAGGTATTCCCAAGTGCATGAGCCCCTGTCTCACCACTCGATGCAGCCCAGTGTCGAATAATTGAGTTGAATCCTCCCGCCATATTATCCTATCCTTGTAGAAATACTTGTCCGAATTGACAGCTGTGTTGGTGTCTATCATGATGTTATTGCCACTGCAATTTGTCGTGTCGTCTGTCCACGAAAAATCCCCGAGAAATATTGAATTTTTGGAGTCTAAAAATCTTTCAATTATCTTCATGTCGTCAGGCCCGTGCATCTGGACGTTTATTATGGTCAAGTCAATTTTATTTATCTGAAAAAATACAGGAATTTTATCTAAATTTCGTGGGTTCAAGTGACAAATGAAATGAAACAAGTGAACAATGGGATTTCTATGAATTATGGGCTCTCTTTTTTTTAAATCTTATGTCACTATTCTCTTTTTCTATTTTTTCATTCCATTATTTTATTTCATTTTACTCCATCATTCTATCATATCATTTTATCAATATGAAACAAAAAATAATAATTACTAGAAATGAATAATGAAAACAAAAAGAAATGGAATTGAAAAAATGAATTAATAAAATTTGAAAGATTTCTTAAAATTCTTACATGGAATATCATAGAGGCAAGAACAGGGAGAAATACTTTGGTAGCCGGCGGCTGTTCCCTGAGGCTGATATTCATCCTGGGATTGTCATCCCACAATACAGCAAGCCCAGCGCCAAGATGCACCGACTGCCACTTTCTCTTATTCTCACGCCAATCCCTGACTCTCTTCAGAGTAGGCGTGTTAAGTTCACTGGTCAATATATCGAGTGCCTCGACACTCTTGACTTCCTGGAGAGCCAGCAACGATATCTGATTCTCCAGAATAGTGCGACACACGACTTCCATGACACCTGGATTGCTGGCCTTGTCAGCAGTGAAGCACGTCAAGTTCCAGGAAGCTATTCTCACTGTTTTCCTTGCGAATGACCTGTGGATGCAGTCGAACCGCAGACTTGGACGAGGACTCGCTATGCTGAGTAATTCCCATATCTCTTTTTCGGATATTCCTGTGCTGAGCTCGAAGTGTTTGTCGTTGTCGTCGGTTTCTGGCCTGAATAATGGGAAAAAATCATGATTCGTTGGTGACAGATGATTATTCTTATGAATCAAAAAAAGGAGAACGAGTTTTATGACTTCATGCAAGAATTAATGGAACAGATTGGGTGCAGTGAGGGGTATTTACACAATTGGCTCTGTCAATTCGTCCCGATTTACCCGGCCAGTCTTCCTGCCAATATTATTGAGCCTCGGAGTGCTCGATGCCTGAGGCATATCCCACGTGGGTGAAGTACTGTCATTACTGGGTGTCCTCATCACCAAACCATTCGACAAGTTGATTTTCAAATGGGGTTTGAGCATAGCAAAACGATGCTTACCCATTCCTCGTAATTTAGCTAATTCGTCGAGTGAGTGGTAGCACCCATGTTTCGCTCGTTTCTCAACAATTCTCGATGCCAATTCCTGCAAAATGCCGCATGCATTGTTATAAATAAACTTGGAACGTGCATGAGGAAATGAACGTGACTAATTACCCCCTCGGGAATTAATAAAACGATGAACACTGGCATCATCGTACAGTTAATCATATCACAATGGTTGATAGTGGGGGGGG